AAGGGACACGCTCCCCTGCCAATAAGGGGGCAGAGAGGGCAGCTTAGTGGAGTGGAGACTCTGTCCCCCGACACCAGAAGACTAGCATCTCTGCCTGTGGGAATTTTATATGTGAGGGACTGGAATATCTTTAAGAGCCCTGTCGAGTTAAAATTGACAATTGTTAATAGAAAGAGCAAACAAATATGGAGCTCTAGTCAATGAGATGCAGGAAGAAGTATTTAGCAAATGTCCTGATGCCTGCAGTTTATTTTGAAATGCATTAAGATGTAAGTTGAATTCATGGAGGGAGGGGAAGATAGTTATGTAATAATGCAAGTACAGGAGCAGTTTGCTAAGGGCAGAATCTAGGTGGTGAGCACACAGTTGACCACTGTATATCCAGTTCTTTCAACTCTGCTGTACATCTGAAAATTTTCAAAATAAAATATTTTAATAAAACCCAAGATGACTGCTGTTAAAAGTTCTCCACTGTCATTCAGCAAATTGATCTCCAGCAGACCTTCCTGGGTTCTCTCTCCTATTCTCCCTGAGGTTTTGGCTTAGATGTTCCTTCTAGGAAGCCCTCCAGAGCCCTCTCGGAGCCTGGAAGATGGACGAAGTGCTCTTTCCATCGGGGTACCTTCTCAGCCTCACCACTGACTTCCCTGTATTGTGCAGTCTCGCCTCCAGACAGGAACTACGGAGCACTGTGCCTGCTTCACAGACGGCCCTCAATAAACCTTTATGAATGACATCACCCAATCCCCGGCCTCTCTGTCATCCATCGGGGCACCTGGCAAAGAGCCAGGTCCACCGTAGATGCTCAGTGCTCCCGGCCCTTCTGGTGAGATCAGTGGCCAGTCTGGTCCCAAGCCTCTTTTCCGCCCCAGGCAGCCGTCGCCACATGCCCATGCCGGATCAGCACCTTGCCTCCCACCGGTCCCCTTCCTCTCCCAGTCTCAGACCCTTGCCTCTTCTCCAGCCCGTTCCTCTCCCGAGGACCCCTCCCTCGCCCAGCTTCCTTCCCCTTCCCCCACCCGGTAGCTGCCGGCTACGACCCCTTTTCCCTCACAGCCCTCCCCCGCGCAGCCCCCCACCCCGTCCTTCCCGCACCGATTTTGCTGGGCCGGGCGTCTCCGCCTGTGGCGGCGGCGGCCAGGATCGCGGCCAGCGCTGCGAGGAGCCGGGCAGCGCGGGCCATGGCGGGCGGCGATCTGGACTGCACGCCGGCGCTCGGTGCTGGCGGGTTGGCGCTGGGCTCGCCGCCCCGCCCCGGCGCCCCACTGGCTGTTCCGCCTTCAGCCCGGTGGGCCACCGCCTCTCATTGGCCGAGCCGCCGTCTCTCTCCAGCACGAGGCGCTCATTAGCTGCATCCCTCTCGGGCAGGCTCCGTCAGTGGCGGCTTCTCTGTCCCGCCTCCTGGACGCGGGTTCTCCATTGGCTGGCTCGTCCTGCCCCCGCGCAGGTGTGCGCGCTCCGGGTGCTCAGCATCAGGACCAGGGCCGCGCTGAGGGGAGATCGACCGGAGAGGCGGGCGACCTCGGTCCCAGTCCAACCCCTGCGGGTTCCTAGCTCTCTAACGGGCCGTCTCCGTGTCTGCTTCGGTTTCCCTTCTCTCCCGCTCCCTTTCTGGGTGGTTTTGACAATCACGTGAGATCAGAGACTTGATACCGTTTGGCAGGATCTGCAAGCGCAGCAAATTGCTGACCAAGCGTGTGCAGGCGTGGGGGCGAGGCGCTCCCCTGCGAGCGCGTGGAAGCAAGGCCAGATGCTTTCGAGACTGCTGTCACCCACGTGTACTTGCAGGTTCTACATGCACTTTGTGTCTCTGCCTTCTACTTAACCAAAAGAGAAGGGTTTCATCCAGTCTCTTCTCAGGGGAAGGAAAGGTAGGAAGGGAGGAGTAAGCTCCCATTTTCACCCTCAGAAAAGAAGAGCCGCTCAGTGTGGTTAGTTCATTACACGGCGAAGGACAGATTCCTCTGGCAGAAAATAAAGCTGAGCATGAGCTTCAGGATAAGTAAGGAAAACCCATATTTAATTTGGCCAGATGATGGCTAAGAGAAGAAACTGAAAGGATTCAGACGCTAGTAAAAGAGCATGTAGCTGAGATTCCAAGTCAGCTCTCTGAGTCACAGAAGGGCCAAGCTGGTTGCTAGTAAAGTAGTAGACAAACATGCATTTCTTATGATCTTAAAAAATAATATTTTTGGTAATGTTTATGTCAGAATGTAAAGCTCCTTAAGTTCATTCCCTTGACTCAAGATAATTCCTTAAATTTTTTGTTATATAAGCATTCATCAATTACTTTGTGCCAAGTTCTCTTATGCGCTGACTTAATCTGATTCTTGTAGCTTTTTTTTTTTTTTATTTTATTCATTTATTTGACAGCAGAGAGGCAGGCAGAGAGAGAGGAGGAAGCAGGCTCCCCGCGGAGCAGAGAGCCCGATGCGGGGCTCAATCCCAGAACCCTGGGATCACGACCCGAGCCGAAGGCAGAGGCTTTAACCCACTGAGCCACCCAGGCGCCCCTCTTGTAGCTTTTTGAAGGGTAAATTGTATTAACTCTAAAATTTCTCCTTTTCTCCCACCAAACAAAAGGCCTTACATATTTATTACTGAACCAGCCTACTGGTGCAGAAGCATAGGAACATAGAAACAATAAAACATGTCTATCGTTCGGGTAGTGGTGATGTTGACACTAGGAGACCAGGAGTGAAGCTGGGTGACTCTATCAGTTACCTATTGCTTCATAACAAACTACCCCAAAACTTAGTGGCTACCAGTAACAATCATTTACTTTGCCCATAAATCTGGGCTTTGGGCACGGCTCTGTGAGATCAGCTCATTTCTGTTCCATATGGTGTCGGATGGGGGCTGTTACACTAGGGGCTGGAGGATCCAATTTCTAAATGACTTGAGATGGCTGGCAAGATGGTGTTGGCTATCAGTTGAAATCTCAGCTAGGGCCTAGTTCCACTCCACAGGCTGTTTCAGTTTGCTGTCAATTGAAGGCTGAGTTGTTGTAAGGGTGAGCATCCAGAGATAGGATAGTTTGGGTCTGGAAACCAGCAGTCACTTCTACTACATTCTATTGGTCAACCACAAAGTCCGGATTCAAGATTTGGAGCAATGTTTGAAACCTCCACAGCGAACTTGACCATGTGGATGGTATGAGCAGATAGAAGTAAGAGTATACTTCCTAGCACTGGGAATATGGGAAGCAATGGATTGGGGAGCCAGGATATCAAGACAAGATTAGAAGAGTAATGAAATCCAAGGCCGAATTGCTGGAAAGGCTGGCTCCAAAGAGGGCCACTCAGCCAGGAGGCTGGGTATTTGGCAGCCAGTTAAGTAGATGTATAGACAAAGCCAGGCAGAGCTTGACAAGGACTCACGGAAGCTGAAGATCTGTGTAAGGACACATGTCAGTGATCTGGTTGAGAGGATCAGAAGTCCAGGAGTTCAAGTGACATGATTGAAGCAGATAAGACAACTAGAACCAAGAAACAAGTGTAAGAAAATAAGGCAATGCCAGAGAGGAAGGCAAAAACAGAAGTCCAGATCTAGAAATACGTAAGAATCAGAATGAAGCAAGGCCAAGGAGGTAGGAGAACAGACAAGACTTCAACCCCAAGGCAGGGTGTAGAATGAACATCTACACCACATCCATTTGGCTGGGCTGCTGTGGGATCTCAAGGTACCTCTGCTGAGTGTTGACAAGATGGGTGAGGAGTCAATGAAGTGACCATAATGTCAATATATAGGCAGACAAAGACACTAAACACAGGAACTAGTTAGGTCAATTCAGGTTTTATTGAAGTTGCTTCTGAATATTCTATTTCATTCTTAGTTTTCCCTATTTGATTTGCTTTAGTGTACAAGAACCTTTCTTCACTTATCAGATCGTTTGCCATGAAAGAGCACCAATTAACTTATCAGTATCAAACTAATTCCCTTATGACAGTGAAGAAAATCTGTGAAAGGTTTGTAGAATCCATGTATTAAAACACCAGGATCCCCTCTTCAAGTGAGCCAAAGCTTCCTTACATATCTGCAGGCCTACAACATTTCACTTTGCCAACAAGATTAAAGTAATGAAGAGCAGACACAATTTTCTTGCTTCTCCAGTCTGAAAGTGTGGATTTCTTGCATTACAGTTAAAACAACAACAACAACACATACACACAGAAAAAAACCAGAAAACTGGAAGGAAAATAAGTCACTGATAGATTAAATTACAATTTTTTCTTTTTTTTTTTTTAATAGAAGCACCACTTAACCAGTTTTCCCCTATGCCTAGACTTTAGACAGCTATTAAAAACATAGGCAAAATAACATGTATAATAGAAAGTAATAAAAATAAATATTTGAGGGCCTACTGTAGTAGACAATTTACACATTTCATTTAATCCTCACAATATTGTGAGGGAATTATAATCATTGTACAAACAAGGAAGCAGGCTCAGAAGGGTGAAATGACTGGGGCCCAAGATCACAGAGGTGACTGGGCTGGGATTTATGTTCAAGTCTATGCCTCCACAGCCTATGCTCTGTTGTGCTGCTCTGGCTCCCAAAAGCCCAACTTTTGAGATTCTTACCATTATAGCTCCATCTTCTAAATTTACACTTTTAAATCTGCATAACTACTGAATAATAAAAACATAAAATTATTCTTAATCTACTTGCTAAAACAGGAGGTTGCAAGGAATATTAGAAGACTCTTCAAGTACTCGAACATTTCATACCTAAAACTATGGTTGTTCTAATTCACTGATAATGACAGCTAGTAATTCAAGAACACATAGGTAATTGGCTCCTTTTCTTGTCACCATCTGTCAATCTCAAAGGAATGAAGGCAAAAAAAAAAAAAAAAAAGACAAATTTCTATTGTGAAATCTGACTGCTCATTAAATTTACAGTATGCACTTACTGGAAAGCCCAAAGAGGTTCTGGTTTTAAAATCTTATCACCAGTCTTTCGTTTGCTTCTTAAAAGCACTCTTTTTTTTTTTTTTGGAGTATCTAATTCTGGTGGAGATGGCAGGGCTCACTGGGGGATGTTTTTATTGATACATATGTGGAGTGTGCTGGAACTATCTACGATGTCTAAGAGGGTAACTTGTAACACTCCACAGAATGGGGTCATAAAATTCCAGTAGAAACGGATTTACTTTATGGATAACTAATTTAAAAAACCTGAACCTACCTATGCAAGCTGTACGTCTAATAATCTTTGTCCGTTGGGGACACATTTGCATGTTCATTATAGAACTGCTGGATCTTAAATGATTAAAGTTAATATCTAGTTGTTCCTTATTCAAGTTCTCACTGAAATTTAGTTTACTAGTTTTAGACATTTTGAGTCCGGTCCTAAAAAGACGTTTTCATGCTTAAGAAGCTGAAAGGGTGAGATGAGATCATCATTAAGGCCTCTTCTAACATTAAAATCTCCGTAACTGACCTCCTTTCTAAAGTCAGATTGATAGGTCATTCACTTGCTCCTTTATTGAACAAATCCTTTACAGAACACCAGCCATAAGCAAGACTGAAAAAAATAAAAAATAAACACATAGGCTCCTTAATTCTATGAGACCAATACATAAAGGACAGCTAGATGTTAATATACATAACATAAGACAGATACAAAAACTGGAAAATAAAGCTTATCAGCATGAGAGGTAGTGATTTGTGAGTACCAAATTAAAAAAGAAATTCAGCATTAACTAAATGAAATGAGAAATAGTAGGAACCTAACATTTTTGCCCTGAACACCTCCTGCATAATCTAATAAAGGATGATGAGGCAAATTTGACAAAGTGGAAGATTTAGGGGCTAGTGGAGAGAAAAGCTGTAGGTAAATTACCTACATAGACTGATTTGGGTCATTAGTTATTGGTGCTGCCTTGGTTTCCCTGAAATGATTATATACCTAGGGAGGCTGAAAAGAATTGTAAGGTAACCCAGCAAAGCACAAGGTTTCTTGGTCATACTTGCTTGAAAGGAACCTGGCACCTTGAATTTCTTGATACTCCCTGCCTTCCAAGTCTTGCCTGGGCCTTAATTAGCCCTAGTAAATGGGACAATGAGTGTGAATATACCTGGCGGGGGCTACAAGGACAAAAGATGGCTAAAAGGAAAATAATAAAAAGGGGAAGTCCTAAAAATCTATGTGTATAAAAACCAACCCAAATGATCTAAATTCATGTAACTCTAAAGCTTTATCATCTAAGTACCCAGATGTTGAACCAATCCCTACCATCTCCTTTCCCCATGAAATACAAGATTCCTGTTGTAGGGACCATTAGAAAGAAACATTTAGTTGAAAATACATAAACATATACTCATTTCCACTTTTAAAAAGCTTTTCAATTGACAGTCATCAGAGTACCAATTTTAAAATAATTTTCTTAAACATATTTGGACAAAGGCCATAGGATCACTTGTCACATTGTTCAAATGCCCAATGGCAAGACTTCTGATGAGACCAAATAGGTCACATTCATCAGTAGAGTATCTTAGAAATAAAGCCAATATGACTAAATCCAAAACAGATCACATGAAGTACCTCATGTACAATACAAACCTAGTTTAATAAATAAAGGAAACATAGGTGGCTGTACTCTGGGAGAACATTCAGTTCTTCATGGCCCATTCATAGTCTTCTCTGAGACTCCACTGCTACTTCCACCCTGGCAAGTCTAATGGTTCGGCCGTGAAGCTTGTAGCCATCTTGCCTTACTAACGCCACGGTGCCAGGCTGTACCCCAACACCTGCTGGCACATGACAGATGAGTTCATGCTCATGAGGGTCATATTTGTCACCGATGGGTGTCATCTTCTCTAGGCCATGTTTGGCAAACACACTTTTCAGCTTTGCTTCTAAAAGTGATAACCCTCGGAAGATCTTCTCCAGAGTGAGCTTCTGGTCCCCAGGCTCTGTTTCTTCAGAAATGTACTCTGTAGTCTTCTCCAAAATGTCTGCCACTTCTACCAAGTCCTTACAGAAACTCTGAATTCCTAGAGAAACCAGACACTTTTATTGTTTGTGAAGAAAAATCACTTTGCTCCTAGGGGAGGAGTATGGGGAATGCCTAGGGGAGTGGCTAGTATACTGGATACCCCAGGAAGTGGGAAGACTGCCACACAGGACCCAGGGATCGTCATCAATGATTACCACCTTAATCCAACTGACAAATCAGGGTTTCTCTTGGAAGGTATATGACTGGGAAGCCTATTAGGAAAAGGGGAAGATGGTTAGAACCTAAGGACTAGGTAAGACTGAATGTAGGATGTCAGAAACCCGTGCTTTAAAAACTGGATCATTGGGCTCCTGGGTGGTTCAGCTGGTTGAGCGACTGCCTTCAGCTTAGGCCATGACCCTGGAGTCCCAGGATCGGGTCCCACATTGGGCTCCCTGCTCAGCTGGGGGTCTGCTTCTCCCTCTGACCTTCCCCCTCTCATGCTTGCTCTCATTCTCCCTCTCTAATAAATACATAAAATCTTAAAAAAAAAATCGGGATCATTGTTTCTTGTATTTTTATGGCTATTCACTTTTAGTACTGACATGTACAGTTTTGAAAATTCTTATATGTCTTAATTTTGCTAAGACATGCACTCTCAATAGGGACAAGATATTGGTATTTCATGGGGTAGAGGGCAATAATACAGAAGTTAGTTGACAACACTGTGCTAAGCGAGATTCAGGAAGGTTTATTCTTGAGGACTGGTTAAACGGGGATAGGAAAGTAATATACTCCATAGAGGAGGTGAGTCTCCAACTCCCTGCTCGGAAGTTACACATGTATGTACATACATATACTTGCTGGAGATGGGCCACAAAACTTCTAAAATCTTTTTAGTTCTATGAACTGTTCTAAAAGTAAACTCAATTGTTGAGCAATCTCATTACTCCCAATGTAGCATCTTGATTTTTCTTACAGAAATGTTAAGAATGTCATCATTACAGACATCTATGGTAACAGCAAAGCCCTGGTGGGATAACTAGTGAAGGATGAAGGACTTTGTTCATCTGGTTTTAATCCAGGGACAGTTTTTTAAAAAAGATTTTATTTATTCATGGTGGGGGGGGGGAGTGCACCCATGAGTGGGATAAGGGACAGAGGGAGAAGGAGAAGCAGATCCCCTGCTAAGCAGAAAGCCTGACTTGGGGTTTGATCCCAGGACCATGGGATCATGACCTGAGCCGAAGTCAGTCACTTAACTGACTTCTGGGCACCCCAATCCAGGGACAGTTTTAAGGCTATGCATCAAAATAGGGAGCCACCTTAACTGTATTCAGAGGTAAAAAGGAAGATCATCCACAGGGAGGCAATAAAAGAGATGACAGAGAAGAAATTTCCTAGACTGGCTGCCTAGATTCTGGAAGGAACAACTGACAGAGGTAGGAATTCTATCTTTAACTTCTGGGTGACAGAGTCCATTTATAGCATCTTGAGCAAACAAGTGTAATAGGATTCAAATTAGTCTAATAATAATGTACATAATGGATTTGGGGTGCCGGGGCATGACAGATGGACAGGAAGAGAAGATATCAGAAGAAATAGAAGAACCAAAGTGAAGGAATGCTGGTATAATGTGGGAGAAGTCTGGTGTGGGAGAGGAGGTAAAGGAGAGGAAAGAGCAAAACCAGCAGGCATCTCCAGGGAACCAGACCTGGTGTGAACAAAGTTCCACGAGATACCTTCTCCACCTCTACTGGGGATGGCAACTATAAATATTAATGGCTATTAATGAAATCAGCTGAAAAAGTAGAAAAGGTTTGCCTCAGGCTTGAGAAGTATGCCGATTAGATCAAAACTCCACCCAAGAGACAAGAATGTCTCATAAAGATCAACCAGGGAGTACTAAAGGCATCTCCTGGCTACTAAAAGAAGACATATACTCCAACGGAATTTTGAAAGCGGTAGGCTTCTGGGCAGACTTGTACATTGCCATGGTACAAAGAACCCTGACTTCTGTCTAGTCAAGTTGTATGATTTGGGTAAAAAGAAGCCCAGGTTCTCTTGTTTGTATAGTGAGTGGTTCAGTCTCTGATTCTATTCTAATTACTGTTACTTCAATAGGAAGTTGGTGTCTGAACCATTTCTTGGGAGTGGGGTTGGGGGAGAATCTTTATGACCTGTTTAAGAGTAGATGAGTTACTGAGACAAAAACCTTCCCTGGAAGGAGAGTCATCATGCTATATTACATATTAATTAAATAATAAAAGCTTTCTATTTTTTTTCTAACCCCATGCTCCCTGAACAATCTTCAATTTTTCTAAGTATTCCTGGCCACTAAAAAGAAATGACCCAAGCAAATGACTTAGGTGGCATACTGCTAGACACATTTTGCTCTCTACATGAATAAATTAGATTATCAAATTATTTTTGAGCTTAGCTAGTATTCGTTTGTTCCTGGGAACCTTATCAATTCTTGAGGAAACTGATACAAGTGATATAACCCATCAAAGCTGGACTTCTAGTAAGCCAATTTACCCTGCCCCCTCAAGCAGGAAAGAAGTCTTTCCCAGGTACCAAGTTGGTTTACTTGCTACAGAATTCCTTGTAGCTCAAAGGTCAGCAAGCTTTTCCTATTAAGGGCCATATAGTAAATATTTTAGGTTTTGTGAGATGAGGCAAAAATCAAGGATCTTATGTAGGTGATCATTTCTACAAATTTTTATTTTTAATTAATTAATTAATTAATTTAAAGCTTTATTTATTTATTTACTTGACAGATCACAAGTAGGCAGAGGGGCAGGCAGAGAGAGAGAGGAGGAAGCAGGTTTCCTGCCGAGCAGAGAGCCCGATTCTGGGCTCGATCCCAGCATCCTGGGATCATGACCTGGGCCAAAGGCAGAGGCTTTAACCCACTGAGCCACCCAGGCACCCCAATTTCTACACATTTTTAATAATAAAATTCAGAACTGTATTCATGGACTTACACATAGGCTGTAGTTTGCAAAGCTCTGTCCTGATGGTTGGAAATAAGACATTAAAACTTGGATGAAACATCAGTAATACAATTTGGGGGTCAGTACTTAGCTGATATCGTAGCCCTGAAACGTGGTATCTCTAGCACTGAATGCAAAGCAGAAGGCTATGCCAAAGCACTGGGGCTGGACAGGACAGGAATGAAGTGAATTCTATGCACAAACAGCAGATAAAATCCAGAGAACAGGGACTAGTGTGACATGGGGGAAAGAATAATAGACTGGGGGTTAGGAACCAACGGACTTACGTCTCTCTCTGTCACCAATTAACTTTTTCCAGCTCATTTGTAAAAGGAGACTGGACTACATACAATCCAAGGGCTCCTGAAGCACCTTCATTCTATGTGCAATGAAAGTATAATCCTCTTAACGAAACTGTGAGGCGAGTAATCACAGATCTGCCTTCTACCCTTCAATCCATTACTAACACTTACATGAACACATTTGGAACGAGTTGTTTGTTGTGTGTTCAGAGAAGAATTTGTGAAAGACTTTATTTTTTATTGTTTTTTTAAAATGTGTGGACTTCAAATGTGTACATATATTTAAGATTTTATTTTTAAGTAATCTCTACGCCCAACGTGTGGCTCAAATGCCTAACTAGAGATCAAGTTTCATGGTCCACTGACTAAGCCAGCCAGGTGCCCCTGAAAGACTTCAAAGATTGAAAGACCAAGATTATTCAGTCATCAGTGAAAAAACAGATGTGATCTAGTACGACTTCTACCTGCTCCCATATGGTTCGAGGCTTTGTCTTTGAGTTATTTGCTAACTTATTAAGTTGTAAACACTGATGGTAATGCAAGTGATTTTTGTCCACAGTAGTGAAAACTGTCTGGCGGAGACACAGTTGATCACTGCACTATGGTTACATACCAGTTTTGCTCTACGAAGCAAATTTTAGTATTCCTGATTGCCCATGCGTCTCGCTCTTTGGATTCTCCTCTGAACATCTTAATGATTCACTTGTTTGTTAATGAGTTAAACAGAATTGGCTGCGTTAGCACTAGAATGTTAAGTGTACACGCTTGAAAAATTAAGTAACAAAGGTTTTGGTCAAAACAAAGGCAAGTATTATTTTAGTAAATAGTTCACTTGGTAACATTCCCAATAAAAATCTCACAAGACATATGGCAAGAGTGGAAGGGCAGAGTAGGATTGGTTTAGGACCTAGATGTGTTTTTTACTATGTTCAGTTTGTAAGGATACTGTCAGTATCCTTAAACTAAAAGGTTTTTTTTTTTTTTTTTTTGAGAGAGAAAGAGAAAGAGAGAGAGAGAGAGAGGTAGAGAGAGAGAGAGAGGACACACCTGCACAAAGGAGGGGAGGGGCAGAGGGAGAGAGAGAATCCCAAGCAGGTTCCATGCCCAGTGCAGATCCCAACATGGGGCTCAACCTCCCAACGAAGATCATGACCAGAGCCAAAATCAAGAGCCTCACGCTTAACCAAATGAGCCACCCAGGTGCCCCAAACTAAAAGGTAGTTTAGTTTTTATCATGAATAAATCTCTCACCAAATATCTTGGCATCTTCTACACATCTCTGGGTTCGCCGCCTTATGTTTTCACCATCGGCTACCGCTCTCTGATATCTCATCTGACACCAAAAGCAAAGTCAAAATGATCAGAAAAATACATGCTTGCTAGTGGAAAAGAATTTCTTCTAAAAGGATTGTATTTATTTATTTGAGAAAGAATGAGAGAGAGAGAGAGAGAGAGAGAGAACACTCATGAGAGGGGGAAGGGTCAGAGGGAGAAGGGGACTCCCCACTGAGCAGGGAGCCCGATGAGGGACTGGATCCTGGGACTCCAGGATCATGACCTGAGCTGAAGGCAGTTGCTTAACCAACTGAGCCACCCACGTTCCCAAGAATGTTTTTCCTTACTTTACAAACTTCAACCTTGTGATAGGTTTTTAGTTTTTTTATTTTTTATCTATTTTTAAAGATTATTTATTTATTTATTTGACAGACAGAAATCAGAAGTACGCAGAGAGGCAGGCAGAGAGAGAGGAGGAAGCAGTCTCCCCGCTGAGCAGAGAGTCTGATGCGGGGCTCGATCCCAGGACCCTGGGATCATGACCTGAGCCGAAGGCAGAGGCTTTAACCCACTGAGCCACCCAGGTGCCCCTTGTGATAGGTTTAAAAAAAAAAAAAAAAAATTAGGAGCTGCAGGAATCTTACATCAGCTACTAAAAATTCCGAGTCAAAGCAGGAACCTACTTTGTACAGCAACCCCGATAGGCTGTCATTTAGCCTCCTACTCTGAAGACTCAACAAGGTGTTTTCAAGCTCATTATCTTGAGAGAAAGCTTCCTTTTTCACACGCAGCCAATAATGCCACCCTCTTTCTTCCATTGAACTGAACTCCAGGACAACAAACATTAAGTTTTAAAAGTGTGTCTTCTATTTGAAGGCAGTTAGTTTAGCTCCTTTAATCTTTTCCTCTTTCATTCTTATAATCCTTGATTCCTTTAATTGCTCTCACAAGACATGCTTTCCTACCTCCTTACCATTCTGGGTGGTCTTGCTTTGGAACTAACTAATTACTGCCCTCAACACGTGTCTGTCAACCCTGGTAGGCAGAGTATGCCAGATGTAGTCTGACTGGCAGAGGACAGTGATAAATGACACACTCAATCAACAAATATCTACAGAGTTTTTACTACATGCCAGGCCCTGGGCCTCCTCTGAAGCTACCACAACATTAGGTATATAAGTACTATGTTTTTAACGATGATAGACTACTTTGCCTAATATACCTAGCAGGAGAGTAGATATGGGGGGAGAGGTAAAGAGCCTATGAGAGGAAATTTAATTTAAAAAAACGGACACAAAAACTGTGTGGATATTTCAGCCAGAGAAGGGATGTGAGGAACAGACAAAATCTACTCACTGTTAAGTCCTGGACTTCCTTCTCCAGTTTCACAGCTTTAAGCTTTAAGGCTCGTTCTGCAAGAGAGGGCCCAAGCTCATCGGGAGGGTCCTCAGAACTGCAGGCCTCACCAGCAGTTCTCTGGGTGACAGTGCTGAAAGGATGCGGCCATCCCCTAAAGTGAGAGGGAGGGGGGCACATGAAGAAATGCCATCACACACAGCCAAACTGCTTGCGGTCACAGTAACACCACCAACACTTATAAAGTATACAGTTACTGAATGTCAGACACCACTGTCAGGTTTTACGTAAATGATCTTTTCATCTCACAGTGTGTGAGAGAAATTATATTATCAATTTTTCTTTTAAAGATTTTATTGATTTATTTGAGACAGAGCACGAGTGGTGGGAAGGGGCAGAGGGAGAGGGAGAAGCAGATTCCTAGCTAAGCAAGGAGCAGGACGCCAGGACCCTGAGATCATGACCCGACCAGTAGGCAGACACTTAACCAACTGAGCCGCCCAGGCTCCCCTATCATCTCAATTTTATAAATGAGAAAACTGAAGCTCAGAGAGGCTTGTGACCACATAACCAGTATTCTGTTGAATCAGGATACTGAACACAAGGCAGCAGAAATAGCTAGAAGTGGGGACGCAAAAGTCAGCAAGAGAAAACAGAGTTCTTATGCCCAGAATCAGCAGGGCAATATCAGAAGTGGGAAATCAAAACACAAAGCCATACATTGCTGATTCAATCCTTCATTTTACACATGGGGAAAATGAAGCCCAGTAAAGGGACTGTGTCAAACTGGAGTCAGGCCTAGAATTCTAAAGCTTTCTTGACCACAAGCTCCTAAGTTAGGCTCCTATGAAAGAGCACCTGTGTTAAGAGAAATCCTGACTTGGGAACGCACGTCTGTGTAAAATCAAGTCAGTTAAACACTTATAAAACACTATACGTTCCAGGCTGTGAACTATAAACAGGTGAATAAAATGGATCTTTGTATTCAATCATGTTTGTAATCCAGAATTTCATACAGCTCAAACGTCTGACGTATAGTTGTTTACAAAGGAAGAACTTTAGAGCAGGGCCTACTTTACAAATCTTGGATTGTAGCAGTTCTCACTCCTCCTTCAAGGAAGTTTCCATTACACTTCCTGGATTCTCATAATTTGAAGTAAAATCAACAAAATCAATCTGTGAGTACAAGAGGTCTTTAAAACAAATAATTTACTCATATGAACAGGCATATATCGAAGAGCAGTCATTGAGGTGACATCCATGCAAAGATTTAAAAGGGGTAAAAAGTGTTTGCTTCAAGCAAGGGAGAGGGAAAAGTCAGTAGAAAGCTACGGGCAAGATGACTTTTATGTCCTAGACTTTCCAGGCCAGCCCTGAACTCAGTTATTACAATCTGGTTTCAGACTGTAAACGGTTCCACATTTCTGGTTCACAAAATATGGTCCCCATAGATTTGGGGCAAATCACACAGGGTGAAATACCTCCTTCCTCCTCAACTAACTACATTTATCCAACTGAAAGTAGGTCATAATACTCCCAAGGACCAGTTTAAAGAGAAAACGGCCAAAGCCCATGTCTGAAGCGGAGAGTTGAGGCTGATCCCTTCAATTCCTCCTGCTCCAGAACTGGAGTGAGGGGAAATTTTATCAGAAGCTAACTTTTTTCTTCTAGTCACTTCCTACATCACAAACTGCCAAAAAGACTTAAAAAGCCCGAAACCCAGAATTCAATAGAATTCAATCTCGCACCCAGGTGCTAGGGCAGGGTGCTAGGTCAAGTGTGTAAAGATAAAAAGGCGGCAAACAGTTTTGCGGAATTCCCGGATTCCCCGCAGCTTAATTTACATTTCAGAAGTCCAACCTTACTCACCCCACAGTTCACTCATTTTTATTCTTTCTGAGGAACACACAGTCAAACACGGAGTCGCCCTGAGAATAATTAACGTTGTTCACTAGTTAAAAGAGCCGATTCTAGAGCCCTGAGTTTGGAAAAGTTACTGAACTTTTCTAAACCTCAGTTTTCTGGATTGAACGGGAGAATAAAAAAGAACTATCCATAAAGTTCTACAGTCGGCATGATAAGTAATCAAAAAAAGGTGCCGTAGCTGATGGTGAAGAGCAGCAAATGCAACTTCATAGACTCAGGTGAAAGAGCCGTTTGGAGACCAAGTCGACCGTCCTCCTTTTACCGACAGGTAAAGTGAAGCCGAGATAATGTGGAAGGGACTGGCCTAGGGTCACACAGGAAGTCGGCAGGGAAAATTCAATGTAACTGCAGACACCCCAGCTGGAGGAAAAGGGGCCGGGAGACGTACATCCCCAATTCAGTCGATGCTCGGGGCTGAAGAGTTCCCACCTCCAAGGAACGTGATCTCGGCTCTTTCTTGGCCTGGCAAGGAAACGCAGCTGTGTGCCTCGGTTTCCTTATCTGTAAAATGCCGTGAGTGCCGAATCGGACAGCCGAGAGGTTTGGTGAGTCATCTCGCGCCCTCCAGCCCATAACCGCCCTTCCAGCTTGCTTGTCTCGCATCACCCTCAATCCGCGACCCGCAGCCTGCCTCGCTCACCTGCCTTCGGACGCGGCACTCGAGGCCAGGAGGCGTTGCACCAGCCGCCGGACCGCCCATACGGACCGCGCGGCCATATTCCCGATCTCCGCTGACGGAGGCAGCGCATGCGCAATTGCTCCAAATGACGAGATAAGCGAGATACCACGCTTCCCGGCAGCCTTCGCGGCCGCTCCCATTCCAGGACCCCGAACCCATACGCCACACTTCCGGTTGTCCCTGCGCGCGGTGCTCGTGCCTATCCGGTGTCCCCGACGAAATGCGACACTTCCGGTCCCCAGCGAGTTGAGTTCGCAGGATGGGTTCCTGTGGCGGGAGTCAGGCTCCGTTCTGGTCGCGAAATCCGCGGTCACCACAGGGGATCGCAGCTGTACCCCCAAGTAGGTTACGTGAAATCGTAAACAATAAGTGAATGCAAACGCGACTTAAAGTCAAAATATGACCGGTGTTTAACGAGGGCCGTGGTGCCGCGGAAGCCTAAAATACGTTGTGGCCGAGTGTCGGCAGTTTTCCCAGAGGAAACACTTGACAGAAAGCTGAAGAATGAGTAGATTAAAGGAGGAGGAAAGTAGTTCAGGTAGAGGTAAACAGCATGTGCAAAATCCCAGTCAAGCGGGAGAGTGTATTTCGAGTAAGGCGCCGAACTACTGGAGGGAACGGGGGGCCGGCAACACAACACAATGAGCGAAACGGGTCCCGCGAGGGATTTAAAAAAACTTAAAGCCCGACTCCGCCATTACTCTTACCTGCTTTTTTCTTCCAGTTCCCTTGTTTTCTGACTTCGCTATTTTTTTTAAATGTGTATTTTCTCACTTCCCTTCACTTGAATGTGAGCTCCATTAGGACAGAGATTAGTCGGTTATTGCCAATGAACGATGGAACAGTTTCTTAATGTAGTACCCAAATTTTTTGCTCCATGAACTTGAGTCTTACTGATTGCAATGCGAGCATGTTACAAAACCTTTACATGTTTAACGGGTCGCTTTGACTCCTGTATGATGCTCGGTCTAAACAAAGAGGCAGGGAGTCAAGCTGTCGTACTAGTCCATGCAAGGGGAGGACTGTACTCTGTCCTGGGGACCCCTTGATAGATCTTTGTAACACCCTATCTAAAGTAGCTACTATTTTAGATGTGTCCTGCAATTTCTGTTTCCATATTTGTATTTTGTTTTGTTTTCTTTTTGTTCTCCCAACTAGAGTTTGAGCAAGAGGGTGTCTATCTTGTTCACAGTGGTGATTTCTGACATCTAGTACAGTAGATAGGTATCCATAGTAGGTGATCAACGAATATTTGTTGAATGAATTAATGGTTGATGTCAGTGGAGATAGGATGAAGTGGATGAATTGTAGAGAGATTTAGTGTGGAAAACTGTCAGGAAGTAAGGATAGATTGGCGATTGGGGTTGAGGGCATTTGGAATTGCCAGGCTAGTTCCTGGATCCTCCCTAAGGTTAAAAAAAAAAATATATATATATATATATATATATGAAATGGGAAGTGTGCTCTCATCATTCTAAATCTTCACTGTAGCATGGCTTACTTATACTGTAGCTGTTTGGGTCAGGTTTTCTTTCTAATTGTCTGTGAGTTCCCTGAGGACAGAGCTGGAGACTTTTGCATCTTTTAATTCTATTCAAGGCCCAGTCCAAATGTGTTGTAACCAACACCTGATGTTTCCTTTTGGCCTCAGGAGAAGAGCAACATGGGTTAAGGAGGGATTATGATCCGCTTTTACATTTGTGAAAAGTGAGGCTCAGAGGTTGGTACACCTGCTCAGGGTCCCCCACTGAGTATTTAGGGACACCAGAAATCCTGATAGTCCCAACACTTGGCAGTGTCGGAAAGGATGGAGCTTCAAATCCCCCTAGACCCATGAGCCTATACCTTCAAAACAAAACAAAACAAATCAAACAAGGCATTTTAACAGATGAGGACTGACATCTATGTTTTAGCCATTTTGTTTGCACTTCTCTTAGCTAACTAGCTTATACCAAATGTGCTGCATATGTACATCTTTCATTAGTCTGTTTATGAGGTGCTAGTGTGCTTCTGAATGCTGCAGTGCAAGATGGGTGGTGGGGTAAGATGTGGATGAAATGGAACCTTGGACTAAGAGGAAGGGCGGCTGGCTCCATCACTTACTAACTGTGGGTCGTGTGAGTTACATAACCACTCTGGGTCGTGCAAGTTACATAACCGCCCTGGGCTTCAGTTTCCCAAACTAAAAACTGGGGTAATAGAGCCTGTGTCACAGAGTTTTAGGGAAAATGCCTGGGAAAGTGATTAGTTAGCACCAGGACTGGCTATGCAATTTAAAGGGCAAAAGGGAAACATGATGCCCTTTGTTCAAAAATTACTGAGAGGGTTAACAGCAGAGCACTAAACCAAGCTCAGGGCCCCACTAATCTTTGTGACTGCACAGGTTGTGTGCCTGTGAACCTTGGCTAACACAGTAGCTGATGCGTGGGGCGCTCACTGTTCCCCTCTCAAGGATTCCCAAGGTCTTTCAGTGGGGAAAAATGCTCAACCGCAGAATAACCACACGAGAAAAAATACACACCGAGGACAGAGTTGGGGTGTTGGGTGTCATTCCAGGGTCCACATTTTAAAAAAGAACATTAACAATGTAGATTATGTGAGCTCCTTTTTCATTGAAGATAAGTGGAATCTGGATGAAAACTGTCAGTTATGGATTAGTTGCTTTTTAGCTTTTTGATGGCTGTGATTATCATATAAACATCATTTCTTCAGTGGAAAGAACACAGGGTTTTTAGTCAGACGTTTCTTATCTAGCTAATAATAAGGGCCACTATTGACTGAGCATTTCCTCTTTCTCAGACAGTGCAAGATGCTTCCCCTGTGCTATCTCACTGAATTTCCCCAATAGTCTTGGGGGTGGGGGGAGGATATGGAACTGTTAACCTGGGTTTTGTAGATAAAGAAAAGAATGAGAGGTCAGGTGACTTTCCCAGACTTAACCAGCTGGGCAGTGGCAGAGGCTAGGCTCAAATCCAACTCTGTCTGGATCCAGGCTCACAGGCCCTAAGTCTCTTCCTCTGCCACGGACCAGCTAGGTGATTTTGGTCAGGCTTTTCCCTGCTCTGGTCCTCAGCTACCTCAAAGGGTGGTAAAGTTTGGATAAGGCAGAAGTATGTAAAGCCCTAGGTAGGGTAAAGTGTCCAAAGGTTATTCTGTGTGTGTGTGTATGTGTGTTTCTCTCTCTGGAGCTAACCTTTGAGCTCTTAGCAGTTAACTGGTTTTATCTTTTTTTGGAAGGAAAATATAAAGACCTAAAAAGTGCCTACAGTGTTGAGAAAGCAGTGAGTGGCACAGTAAGGAGACTGCCCAAGACTTGAGGTCCCGCTTCCCTATAAAAGTATCAAGTGTTAGTAAAAGGCACTCCTGGCAGAAATGAGCCACCGTCCTTTGATTCTCCCTGATAGTTTTCCTTGACAGCAGGTACAGGAGTGCAGACTGGAGAGCCTTTAAGTGCAAAATCAGGATAAAGACATACAGAGTGTCACTTGGTTCTCTAGCCCTAGCTCCTGGAGCCTGAGTGTCAAATGAAATAGGTAAAGGACTTGATTGACTACAAATGACCCCACCCTACAATGCCTGCACTGTCCTGTGGACATTAGGAATCCATGTTCCTGTCACTATCACTGTGGACTGAAAACAAGTCCGCTGCTGAGCCTCCCCTCGCCTGCTGCGTAGCAGATCTCTTATTTGAAAGCACTTCAAATGCAGGGTTCTGGTAGCCGCACCTGCCCAGCTCTGAAACACAGAAGGAATGACTGCAGAATTTGTGTGTTGTCTGTAGCTTTTGTTCACGTTCACGCAGGCAGGGAAATTCTATTGATTTTTCGGCCTCTTTATGTTGCCCAGAGGTTGTCAGTGATGCCCCACATGAATCCACTTGGCACAAGTGTGATCAGATGATCAAAGCTTGGCTCTTTGTACTGTACTACCTACTGATGCTTCAGCACTGTCTTCCTTTGCCCTATAGCCTGGGAATGGGACGCTAGAATGGGATGGAACGGCTTATTCACGTGGGCTTTCATTTCTTCAGAAGTGAGGGCGAAGACATTTAACAAAACCTTTACAGTGGTGCAGATTTCTATCTCCCTCCATCCCCGTTTTCCACCCTCTGGGAAGTTAAAAGGACGCCCTCCATGTCCTTCCTCCCTTCCATTTCTTCCCTCCCTGTTTCCCCTGTAATCATGCAGACAGTAAAAGCTGGTCTTCTGGGTGCCCTGGAGAGGCTACTTCCAGTGGGGGCTACTTCCAGTGTCCTGGCGTCTCCTTGTGAAAAAAGTGTTTCCAATACAATCTTGTATTTCCTTTGGAATGAAATCTTCATCCTTTTTCTAGGTCTTCTTCATTTCCCATTCCTGAAGTCCAGAAAGATAAGACAAATCAGGTTGCTGAACATTCTAGTGTGACTTACAAGATAAAAACATTCCACTGCACCTGATTACATAAAGATCTCCACTGGCCAGAGAGCCACGGGTCCTAGTCTCACCCTCCTTCGGTAGCCATGGGTAAGTCTTTTCTCCACTCTGGGGCGTGGGGAGTTTTATGGGGGCTCAAATGTCACAAAGTTTGTCTTTCTCAGACAAGGAAACTGAAGCCAGTTTATGCGTGGTTCTAATGCTGGGGTGGGGTGAGGTAGGAGACTGATGAGAGAAAAGACAAAGTAGTTTGGTAAGGAAGGGTGGACGCAGGCAGCCCACTGGGCTCTCTTCTTTCCCCTGAAGCCATGCAGGACTTCATCTGGGAGGGATACTGAAGTCCTGGCCAGTAGTGAATGGCTTTTTACCCACAAGTGATGCATAGGGTTTCTAGCCAGTTCTGGAGGTGATGGTGTAAACCAGGGTTACATGGGAGGGTTGGAAGAACATTCTTGCTGGGAGGATTCCCCACTCCCAACCTGCTGCTCTTCTCACAGTCTTCACCATCTAAACTGCAGTTGCTCAGGGCAATGACTTTGAGTCATCCTTGGTTCCTTTCTTCTCCTTATCCTTTACATCCCCATCAGCAAATCCTTTGGCTCTACCTCCAAAGCCAGCCACTTCAAATCACCCCACTATACCTTTTTCATCTCTCATCTGGATAACTCCTAACTGGTCTCCCCTGTCTCCTTATCAGTTCTCAACATTGTTCCAGAATGGTTTTGTTTTGTTTTGTGAGCTTTTGTTTTTTTAAAGAGAGAGCATGTGTGAGGCAGGGGCAGAAGGAGGGAGAGAATCTTAAGTAGGCTCCATGCCTAGTGTGGAGTCCGATGCAGGGCTCGATCTCACAACCCTGAGATCATGACCCTGAGATCACGACCTGAGCCAAAATCAAGAGTCTGTCGCTTAATCAAATGAGCCACCCAGGCACCCCCAGAATGGTCTTTCATTTTTTATTTATTTTATGTTTTATTATTTAAATATTTATTTTTTATTAAAAAAATTTTTTTAAAGATTTTGTCAGAGAGAGACAGAGCACAAGCAGTGGGAGCAGCAGGCAGAAGGAGAAACAAGGCTCCCTGCTGAGCAAGGAGTCCAATACAGGACATGATCCCAGGACCCGGGGATCATGACCTGGGCCAAAGGCAGGCGCTTAACCAACTGAGCCACCCAGGTGTCCCCAGAATGGTCTTTTAAAAATGTAATTCATATCCACAAATTTTTTCTCAAAACTTGCCAATGACTTTCCATTATGTTAGAACAAAATTTACAGTTCTTCCGATGTCCTACAAGGATCAAAGAGAAACAAACTGGCCCACAGGCCCATCTGGCCCACTGTGTGTTTTCAACTAAGCATGTGTTCATCAAAAACTAATGGTTTTTACATTTCTAAATGTTTGAAAACAAATCAAAAGAATAATAATTTTTGGGGAGCCTGGGTGGCTTAGTCAGTTAAATGTCTGCCTTCGGCTCAGGTCATGATCCCAAGGTCCTGGCATCGAGTCCTGCATGGGGCTCCTTGCTCAGCAGGGAGCCTGCTTCTCCCTCTGCCCGCAGTTCCCCCTGCTTTGACAAATAAATAAATAAAATCTTAAAAAAAATTTGTTTCTTGACATGTGAAAATTTTATGAAATTCAAATCTCAGTGTCCATAAATAAAGTTTTATTGGGACACAGCCATTCCATCATTTGTTTACAAGTTGTCTACTTTCCTGCTGCAGTGGCAGAGCTGAGTCATTCTGAAAGAAGCTCTGTGGTCCACAAGCTCGCAGATATTTACCTTTACAGTTTGCTGATGTCTAGTCTAGATGATCTAGCCTCTGGCTGTTTACTTCTCTAATCTCATGTCCTTATGCTCAGGTGTTAGTTTTTCAAGTCTACAATTTCTTTTCTCCTTTCTTCCTTCCTTCCTTTCTTTCTTCCTTCCTTCTTTCCTTTCAAGATTTTATTTATTCATTTGAGAGAGAAAGAGAGAGAGAGCATGAGCACGGGGGAGGAGCAAGGGGAGAGAGAGAAACAGTTTCCCCGCTGAGCATGGAGCTTGAAAGAACCCTGGGATCGTGACCTGAGCTGAAGGCAGATCCTTCAGCCGAGCCGACTGAGCCACCCAGGTGCCCCTCAAGTCCACAATTTCTTATTCCCAATTCTGAAATCCAGAAAACCCTAAAACCAAATTTTTTCTCAAGCATTTCGGCACAAACACAATTGGTGCAAAACCTGACCTGAGCTGATGTGAGGCTGTTTATAATCTACACCACATGGTGTGAATATTTATGTGACTTCTTGTAGAATACTTAACATGTTTGCTTTCACAGTGCTTCCTGAGAACTTGCTGGGGTTTTTCATCATACACAGTACATGTACCATATTATCTTTCTAAAATCCTCAAAGTTCTGGAACACAGCTGGCCCTGAGAGGACTAGACTGTGGGCCGGTATCACGGATTGAGCCTGGGACCTAGAACCGGAAGAGGCGGGGCCAAGAACCTCTCGGTGGAGTTCTGTAGGAAGGGGGCTGCCAGATCTCTGAATTTTGATTCGCTGAGCTATTGCAATACCTTGGCTTTCTGTAGCACCCTTCCTTGGTTGGAGGTTACGATGGATGGGCTTCTCTTCCTCAGCTCAGAAACACAGTTGACAGGGAGAGATTGCTCTGGGGTGTTGTTCTGGGGTTTATTTGCAGTTTCCTGTTAATGAGGATAAATAATTACATAGGTGAGGCCTAATGCTGGCTTCCCACACCTGGTTTGCCCTCCAAAGAATGCAAATAGAAGGTGCTGTTAGGCCAGCACCAAACAGGGCGAGGGGAAGAAGGCCCCTTGAGGGCCTTGAAATGAAAGTAATGACCTCTAGAATTACGGAGCCCTCATTATGCACCAGGCTTTGCATGGATTAGCTCATTTAGACTTTCCAAGCCTACGAAGTAGGTACCATTATTAGTCACCCTGTTTTACAGATGAGCCAAATGGGAAGGTCAAGTCATTGCTCAAGGTCACACAGTTGGTGAGCTGGGATTCAAACCCTACCGCCCTCTCTCTTCACCTCTCCCATATTCCTTCTCTTCTACAGTGCCCTCACCCCTTAACTTTTCCAGATAGTTGCTCAGTACATTACTGGATGTAGTTCTTTAAGTGTGGCATATTAATGGCTAAGCCTGCAGGGAATTTAGAGAAGACATCTCTTTCTCTCCAAAGGCCTTCAGAAAGGTTCACAAGTCTTGGGAAAAGCCGTCTGGAATGTGAATTTCAGGGCACATTGGTGGGAAGAAGCAGCTGGGAAGAGTGAAACCACTTCTAGCTCCTCCTCCACCCTCCGTGAGTTTGCCTTTGTTTTCTTAAGCTCTTCATCTGTAAATGAGGTTGGAAAGCCCCAAGGAGAGGAAGCCTGCAGGCAGAAGGAACCGCCTGGCTTGGAGACGTGGGGTGTGGTCTGACCAGGCGGTGGCAACTCAAAACTTATCTGACAAGCTATTTCATCTGTCTGAATCTCCCTGTACTTTTCTGAAAGCAGGCATTGAGTTTTATTCATTCAACAAACATTTGTTGCACTCCTATTTTGCGGACTTTGTAGAAGGGCTAAGGTTATAATGATAAAACAGGCATAGTCCAATTTTTAATAAAACTATACAACCCATCGGGGAGATAGACATTAGACCAGGAAGGACAGAAAAATACACACACACACACACACACACACACACACACACACATATACACAAATTGTGGCCAAGTGCTATGAGAAAGAATAACACATTGGACTCTTCGCAATTTAGACCAGTGGTTCCCAAATAGGGGCGATTTTGCCTTTCCAGGGGACGTTTGGCAATTTCTGGAGACATTTCTGGTTGGCGGGTGGGTGCGGAACTACTGGCATCTAGCAGGCAGAAGCTCGCAACGCTGATAAACATCCTACATGTACCTGGCAGTCCCCTATAAAAAGAATTATTGGCCCCAAATATCAGTAGTGCTGAGGCTGAGACATTCAGACGGAGACGGAGGTCAGCCAAGTTCTCCCTGAGGAGCTCTCATTCGGGGCGAGAGGATCTACCTTGCAGGGGTGCTTGGAGCCCTGGAGATCATGGCTGTGCAAGGCCCAGAGGACCACCTGGTACACTGAGAACCCTAAGACAGGGCACAAGCACCGTGGCTAAGGCTGGGATCTGGAGTCAGTCTTCCTGCATTGCAAATCCTGCCTCCCACTTACTTAACTGAGTGACCTGGCATAAGTCCCTCAGCACCTCTGACCTTCGTTTCCTTGTCCATCCAGTGGTGCCAACATACCTAGTGTCCTACCTCCCGGGACTGCCGTGAAGATCGGGTGAGATAACAGGAGTTAAAGGCTGTACTGACCTACATACAGTACAGTTATTGACCTACAATACAGTTATTGTTCAACACAAACTTGTTATTCAGCATACCGTAGTTACACTTACCAGTAACCCAAAGGCTACTTCTAGGATCACATTCAGGATAAAAAGGTCAAATGGCAGGGCTTTGGGGGAGACAACACAGGCCAGAGCTTTCTCTGACGGTCCCCTCCCTAGCAGTGCCACCTGTTCTCTGGCAGGTTGTCTTCTGGCATGTTCCCGCTCCTCTTTGGGCATCTACTTGCTCATCTGTAAATGAGCATCATTCCTACCCGCAAAGAGTGACCGTGAAGATCTATAGCACATGAGGGGATTAAGAAGCAGCTACCCCGGCCCACATGGGCATGGACTCACCCCACTCTTGTTCTTGCTGCTCACGGAGAGCCCCAGCGTCGGGCCCCCTGCCAGGGACTGCTGCAGTCGCTCCTTCACAGCCACAAGCCGCAGCTCCAGGTCAATCCGGCGTTCCTCCTTTGCCCGACACTGAGCTTCCAGGGCAGCCACGGCCTCCTCCAGAGCCTTTAACTTTGTCCCTGTGTCCAGAGACATGGCAGAGAAACAGCTGAGCCTGGCCTGAAGCCTCAGCTAATTCGGCAGGACCTCAGGTTCTAGTCTGTCCCTCCCAGGGGGCTTTTCCAAGCCCTCAGTCCCAATTCGGAGAAGGACTTGGGGCCTGGGGTTCCAGCTCCAGGCTGGGTTGTGTCATTTTTACCTGCCCTGTATCTGTTTCCCCACCTTCTGGATCCAAAACCCTGATTTTCCCCTGGGAAACCACCTTTCTCCTCCAATTCCCTTTAGTTTGGATGGAGCCGACCTCACTTTTAGTTCAAGGGGTTGGCACAGGACTTAGACCTGGTCCATAATCCTATCTCCATTTTCTGGTCACAGTGGTTGGTTTAGAGATTAAAGTTGGTCCAATCAGAGTGAATCCTGAGGCTTCTGTGGGATCCATTGGGAAGAGAAGTTTTCTCTGCAGGGGCGGTTGAGAGGATTGGGTGAGGGCTAGAGCTGTGCAGCCATTATGCCACCATGAGGGGCAGAGAATGAAGCCAACACAGAGGAAGGCAGAGACAGAATTATACTTCCTGGTGACATCGTTCCAATTCCTGGAACTTGCTATACCTGATCGCTCAGTTTTCCAATTAAAAAAAAATTTTTTTTTAAAGATTTTATTTATTTGACAGAGAAAGAGAGATCACAAGTAGACAGAGAGGCAGGCAGAGAGAGAGGGGGAGAAGCAGGCTTCCCACTGAGCAGAGAGCCCGATGCGGGGCTCGATCCCAGGACCCTGAGATCATGACCTGAGCCGAAGGCAGAGGCTTAACCCACTGAGCCACCCAGGCGCCCCTTTTTTTTCTTTGCTTTAAAGTAAGGTCTAAACTTAATATAGGGCTTGAACTCATGACCCTGAGATCAAAAGTCATATGCTCTACCAACTGAGCAAGCCAGGCACCCCTATGGTTTTCCTCTCATTTCTTTCTTTCTTTTTTTTTTTTTTAATTTTTTTTTGGAATTTCTTTTTTCCTTTTTTTAAAGACTTATTTATTTTAGAGAGAGAGGGAGCAGGGGGAGGGGTAAAGAGAGAGGGAGAGAAGCAGATGCCCCGCTGCGTGTGAAGCCCAATGCTAGGCTGAGCTCTGGGCTCAATCTCATGGCCCCGAAATCAGGACCTGAGCTGAAATCAAGAGTCTAACCCTCAACTGGCTGAGCCATCCGGGTGCCCTCCTTTTCATTTCTAAGCCAATTTGACTTTGGTTTCTCTCTTTTTTTTTTTTGTATTTATTTATTTGACAGACAGAGACCACAAGTAGGCAGAGAGGCAGGCAGAGGGAGAGAGAGGAGAAAGCAGGCTCCCCGCCGAGCAGAGAGCCCGACGCGGGGCTCGATCCCAGGACTCCGGGACCACGACCCGAGCCGAAGGCAGAGGCCCCAACCCACTGAGCCACCCAGGCGCCCCGACTTTGGTTTCTCTTACTTGTAACTGAGTTATAATACAGGTTTTTACATCAACCATGGACTCCTACTGGGATTTTGTTGGTTTTCAATCTAAACTAACAAACCTGTATTAGTATCTTTTCATGCCAAGAGGTGTGTTGGGTCTTACCAGGTTTATTTTTTATTTTTTATTTTTTATTTTTTAAAGATTTTATTTATTTATTTGACAGAGAGATCACAAGCAGGCAGAGAGGCAGGAAGAGAGAGAGGAGGAAGCAGGCTCCCCTAGAGAGCAGAGAGCCCGATGCGGGGCTCGATCCCAGGACTCTGAGATCATGACCTGAGCCGAAGGCAGCGGCTTAACCCACTGAGCCACCCAGGCGCCCCATGGGTCTTACCAGGTTTAAAAGTTAGTTTCTTTCTCTCTTTCATTCATTCATTTATTCATTCATTCATCTATCCAGTAAATACTTATTGGGTGCTAAGCCCTTGCTTTGTACCGGGTGCTGTTCTGGATCCTTGGGATAGATCAGTGAACAAAACAGGCCAAGATTCTTGATCTTACAGAGCTCATATTTGTGTGTGTGTGTGTGTGTGTGTGTGTGTGTGTGTGTGTGTGTGTGTATGAGAGAGAAAAAAACAATAAATAAAAATGATAAACATAATAAATAATCAAATGTTACAAAGTGATGTGCTATAGAAAAAAGTTGAGCAGGATAAGGAAGATAGCCTGTTCCAAACCCTGTTTTGACTCTTAGAAAGTTCTGTATATTGAGACCAAACTGCCTTCTTATGCTTCCCTCCCACAGATTCTGGTTCTTGGCTACACAGAAGAAGCCTTATCCTTTAATCTAGAAGTTCTCTGTTAGGTTCATGGATTCCTAGGCACTCTGTGGGTGAGCTCTGAGGGTACACGAGCTCTGGCTGCTGAAACTGTCCGCAACATTGTGAATTGTGGGGTTTTTTTCCCCCTTGGGAAAAGGATCCATAGGTTCCATTAGATTCTCACAGGGCTGTGTGACCTTGGATGTATTTTATAAAGGACAAGGCCTCTGTTCCTTCAAGCATGTGGGCAAACCTCAGGCTGAAAGTGTGCCAAACTCCAGCTATAGAGAGAACTCAGAGGAGAGAGCAGAAGGTGGGGTGCAGAGGAACCCAGAGCAGGCTGGGCCTGCAGAGGTCATGGCCATGGATATTGGAAGAGGATGTCTCTGTCCATCATTCCCAGCACCAGGACCAGTGTCTCACACGGTTGGGTGCTCAGCACTTCTGAATGAGTGACTTAATGGGAGGTTCAAAATGATGTCTCTTATTTCCTTGATTCTAAGGCACACTCTGTTTTCCACATTTTAACATTTCTAAAATCAGATTGAATTTTACTATATTAAGTGTACACGTTTTTGTGATGCCTTTTTATCCCCTTACCCAAGAGCAGTTACTAGAGTGACGGCACTTTCATTACTCACGAAGGATGATGACAATGAAGTTGAGGAAGAGGAGGAGGAGGAGGAGGAAGATGGGGCAGAGAAGCACAATGTCCTGGAGAAGCAGCTGACCTCTGCCATGGGAGGTGTCAGGGCTGAGCCCGTGCTCCCCGCCCCCCCAACTTGAGTACCCAGGACACGCCCATGTAGGTACCTGGATTATTCCGGATGGCTTCCTTCAGCTCCCTCTTCTCCTGCCTCAGTGCCATCAGCTCTGTCCGGATTGTCTCCTTCTCTTTTTCCAGCTTCTCTTTTTCTACCAGGTACCTCCGGGCATCTTCCTCAGCTCGGTTCTTGCCGTATTTGTATTGATTGGCACCTGCAGAGATAAAAGGCAGGCGAAGGCCCCCCCACTTCTGATCTCTCGTAAAGGTACTTGCGCGGCCTTAGCGTCTTTCTCAGCCTCAACTTCTCCATCTATAAAAGGGAACACTCAGATCTATATCCTTAGTGTATAAATCCTCCAAGGAAACAGGAGCAAATGGGAGGCAGCAGAGCATCGGGACTAGGAACAAGGGCTTTGGAATGAGGCCGACCAAGGTTTGTATCCTCTTTTACCTTTTGCTGGTTGGGTGACATCAGGCAACAGTGATTAGTGGTGTTTCTGTGCCTCACCCCAGGCCTTGGTTTCCTCATTTGTAAATGCGGACATTGATCAAATTTACCTCTTTAGCATTGTGGTAAGTTTTTGTTTTGTTTTTAAAGATTTTATCCGTTTACTTGAGAGAGAGAGCACAGAGGGAGAGCAAGAAGGAGAAGAAGGCTCCCCACTCAGCAGAGAGCTAACGCACGGCTGGATCCCAGGATATGTAACTCAGAGCCGCAGAGAATCAAGACCTTGGGCTAAACTCAGGCATTGCCCATTTTATTCCTGGAAAATGGGTGGAGGGAGAGAGGAGCCCAGGAATCCATTCCAGGCTCCACATTATGGTGGACAATTACAGATAATTTGGCAAAAATTTATCAAGCATGTACTATATGCTAGGCCATTTACATGCCTGTATGCCATTCTATGCACTTAGTCTTCATAAAACCTTGCTTTGATTAGCTCTGTTTTGTTGCTGGGGAAACTGAGGCACAGAGAGTGTTTTGTTGCTGGGGAAACTGAGGCACAGAGAGGTTGGATCTCAATGCTAATGATGGCAGAGCCCAGTTGGAGCCCATGTGTGTCTACTCCGGGCTCCGTGCCATGCATTACTGCTGTGGGCCGGGCTGGGGGGTGGTGGTTTGTGCCATAGTCCAGCGTTACAGGGAAATTTTTATTTATTTATGTTTTTGTTTCAGACAGTCATTTACAGTCCTTTAAGCTGGTGGGGTGTGGAATTAGCAATGATTCCCTCGGTTTACTGATCACTAGGGTTTTGTCTCTCCAGCTCTTGTAGGGACTGCAATGGCCACCTGGTGACACATGCAAAGATCAATTCCTATGTCAACTACCCTGCAGTTGGAGCCTGATCACAAACAAAGCATGGCGGGCACAGAAGGGGACCCATAGTTCCCCCAACCTCCCAGGTACACAGTGGCATCCCAGGGGAATTTTCTCCCAGATGTTTGGATTTTATAGCCTGGTAAGCTAAAAATAAATGCATAAAGCAGCAAAGTGTTGTCAGTGTTATGTTGTATCAGATAAGGACTTTAAAACCCCCAACCACTATCTGTCATTTCCAGTATTTTATATCTATTTTATATACCATCAGTAGAACATTTCATTTGAGGAAAGAATACATGTTTTGTGATCTTTGTTGTTGTTGTTTGAATGTTTTATGATTTCTTTAATCTTACATGGTTATTTCAGTTTACTTTTCCATTTTATTTTATTTTTTTTATTTTTATTTTTATTTTTTGGAGAGAGAGTGAGCATGAGTGTAAGTGGGGGGTGTGGGCAGAGAGGGAGAGAGAATCATAAGCAGACTCCACGCTCAGTGCGGAGCCCTACGTGGGGTTTAATCTCAGATCCTGAGAACACAACCTGAGCCAAAATCAAAAGTCAGACACTTAACGGACTAAGCCACCCAGGCAACCCTACATTTCCATTTGAAAATGGGCATTCCATAAAGGCCTGTATTTCCAGTGCCAAAGAGAGCATAGTGTAAGGAATGTGACACAACCACAAAGAAGGGACTTTTCCAAAGTTAGTTAGTAATTTAATGATCAAATGGGGGAACGGAATGCAGGTCTTCTGACCCCCAGAAGAGATAATCTACATTACTGAAGTGGAGATCTAATAAAGAAAAGTATATAAAAAATAAATCTTCAAAAAGCAAGGAATAGAAATTGACTCTGTTCAGGGGCAGGGGGAAGCACTATAAAGCAGTAACTGAAAATGTTCTTGGAATATGCTGTCCTACAGGAAGCCGGCCGGCTTGTGAATCACACAGGAGCAGAGATTAGTGCTGGAAGTCAAACAGAACTGACCAGAGTCTGGCATGCTTAGCCTTTATTGTGCAGTGTGGCAATCGGGCAAAATTTACGCAGCTCATCTATGGGGTGCTAGGGAGAGTGTGGGCTGGGACACAGAGGTGAGCCGTGCCTTTCATGGCAGCTGCCCTGAGGGAATTGGGAGGGGTTCCTTTCTCCATGTACTCCCCCAGATCAGGATTTGAAAATATTTTTAGACTTCGGAACAGACAGAACTTGAGGATGAATTTTATCTGTGTATATGTGTATTCATATATATGCAACATTGCAGCATAAAAACATATTTGGCCTTACTTAGTGTTAAAATTTTTGAAAACTAGTTGCTGATATTAAGAAGTCAGTAGATTTCCTATGAAGGCAAGGTTTCTGTTCTTTTTTTTTTTTTAATGTTTTATTTATTTATTTGACAGAGATCACAAGTAAGGCAGAGAGGCAGGCAGAGAAAGAGAGACAGGGAAGCAGGTCTGCAGAGAGCAGAGAGCAGAGAGCCCAACGCGGGACTTGATCCCAGGACCCTGAGATCATGACCTGAGCCAAAGGTAGAGGCTTAACCCACTGAGCCACCCAGGCACCCAGGTTTCTGTTCTTGAATGATCTGTGAAGCTGGGCTGCCCCGCTGCGTGGGAGCCACTGGCTGGAGCTGAGTAGCAGCGAGCCCTCTGGATGGAGCTTGCGAGCTCTAGATTCCTGCAGTCTTTCCCCACCCCATCCCCTCTTGTCTGCCCTCTGGAGGCCACAGCCTAGCTGCCCTCTGTCACGTGACTTGTGCTGTCATTTTTCTTATGGTAGAGTGTTTTCTTAATATCTCACTTCGCTCATTAATTCACATGTGAGCTGCCTGGGGGAATCTGATTGGAGATCCCCGACCCCGTGGATGGTTTCATTCCCTTCCTCGCTCCCACCCAGAACTCACTGGAGGCATGGCGCTTGACTTTGACCTGCGGATCCACTCGATGGGACTTCTCGCTGCAGGAGGAAGCATGGCGTTTCACCTGGGCGCCCGCGGGACGCTTGGGCTCCTCGTCCTGGGGGAGATGGAGAAAGGAGGTGAAGAGCAGGTAGGCTCAGAGCCCTCCAGGCAGGGGTATTCTGCTCCGAGTGGAGGGGGTGAGCACTGCAAGACCTCTGAGATCACGGCCTTACATTTTTAGACTGGGGCCACACTCAACAGTTTCTAGACTTCTTCTACTAGTATGTATCACGTGATTGGGTCGAGGGCCGCAGAAGGCGCCCCTAAACTGGAATATCTGGTGAGAGGAAAATCTGGAAGACTCAGGGGGCTCTGGGTGAGCATATTTGATTCATCATAGATACTTCTGTCTTCACGTCATTTGGAAGTATCCTTCACATTTTCTGAAATCGCTAAATGTAGAGTTTCCAGTTAAGATCAGAAGTCGTGGATGACATCGGCCAATGGTGGATGTTATATAACCTAATAAACTGGCTCTGCATTTTTTTTTTAAAGATTTTATTTATTTATTTGAGAGAGAGAGCATGAGAAGGGGGAGGGTCAGAGGGAGAAGCAGACTCCCTGCCAAGCAGGGAGCCCGATGCGGGACTCGATCCCAGGACTCCAGGATCATGACCTGAGCCGAAGGCAGATGCTCAACCAACCGAGCCACCCAGGCGCCCTGGCTCTGCATTTTTAAAAAAAGATTTTATTTAAGAGAGAGAGAGAGAGAGAGAGGAGAGAGTGTGTGAACAGGGGGAGGGCCAAAGGGAGAGGGAAAAGCAGGCTCTCTGCTGAGTGAGGAGCCAGACCCGGGGCTCGATCCCAGGACCCTGAGATCAGGACCTGAGCTAAAGGCAGATGCTTAACTGAGCCACCCAGGCACCACTAAACTAGTTATACATTTGTGCATGTAGAGTATTATGGGCACTCAGAATCTGGTCAGAGCTCAGGGAATCACGAGTGGAATATAATAATAATGTAACATAATAATGATATTGATAACAGTAGTACTCTACTCAGTGTGAGACCTTCTGATGTCTATGTGCTGCTAAACTCTTTCTATACAGTATTTCATTTGGTTCTCACAGTCATCCAACCAGGTAGGTTTTATAGTATTCATCTGAAGTCAGGAAATGAGGATAAGAGAAGTGAAGGCCAAGGTCACCCAGATTCAGCCCCAAATCCAAAGTTCATGCCATCAGATACTAAACTATCTGGCTACTAATCTCTGCAGCTGAGAAAGATCTCAAGCTGCATCCCCTTAAGATCATCTGAATCTGAATCTGAATCTGAAGAAAGACCATATAAGCAGAAGAAGGATGGCTGGAGAACTTTCTAGAAAAGGGAGCCTTAGAGGTGAGAGCTAGGGGTCATCCAGCTGTGTCCAAGGCAGGGGGACTGGCGTGTAGACATGTCTACTTTCCTTGACAGCTTAATTCCCTCTTTCTCCCCCAGCTGTGAGGCCTGACCCACCCACCAGTGTCTGATCAGAAGGTGGCTCTCTTGCTCTCGCATGGGAGGAAAAGACATGGGACACACTGCCAGAAGCAGTCTGTTCATGTGATGGCTACCGAGGCCTCACTGGCATCTCCTCGATTTAGTGAGCAAACGGGGAGACTCTGTCCTGGGAGCTGAAGGCCAGACTGTGGATACCACCAAGTGAAGGTCTATGGGAGTAGCCACCCAGTTAGTGGCCAGCACCCCCCGCCTCCCAGGCACCCCCGAGTCAGCAGCATTAGTTCACAGAGCAGTGAGCCGGTGGAGAGCCCAACACCTTGCTTGGACCAGCACAGTGATTTGCGGTATCAAATCCTGTCCTCTTCCCGGTCTGGGGGCTCTTTGCTGTGCCACCCTGCCTCCTCTGTCAGAGGATTCCGTACTGAGCCAGGATCTCTGATAAGAAGGGTCCTCCCTCCCCTTCCAGCGGATGGTTCAATGAGGATCATCTCTGAGTACAGGAAAAAAGAAGTAGTGGCAGAGAGCGAGAAAGAGAGGAAAGAGCTAATCAGTGGCCTTTGCCACATTCCCGGCCCTCCCAAGGGAGCTCACCTGTATCTTTTCATAAGGGACATCATCGTACACACGGGGCTCAGGCCACTGATCCTGGCAGGATCTTGCATATCTAGAAAATATAAGGTGTCATGATGATGGCAGTGATGATGACGCTTTGTGGCTTACAGAGCTGTCTGTCTACCCTCCTTTGATTCTGTGATGAGTGCTAGAAGCTTAGTGACAGCAGCCATGCCAGGCAGCTCGGGGCCGTTGCTATGTTCAGGGCCTCAGAGGCAGGAGCCGCACGATTCTTAGAGCAACCAAGAGGTGAGTGACTCATCACCTCCATTCTGTAAGTGAGAACTCAGAGTTCAAGCTGGCAAGCAGCTGCCCCAAGCTGTTGGTCGTGAGAGTCATGACTTGAACCCGGCTCTTCCAGGCCATGTACCAGCCCCAATGGCCAAGGGTATGAGGCCCCGAGGTTCCGAGGCACAAGAGCCGAGCCCTGTCATGACTGCAGCCTGGCTTCTCTGCTCTTTTGCTCACTGCCTGCCCAGCACCCCCCCACCCCCCCCGGGGCTCCCTCCGTTAGCCAGCTCGTGCCTGCCTGCTGGAGGAGGAAGGCACCCCCCTCTGACTTCCCAAGGAAGCAGAGCCCTCCTCAGCTCCTCCTCCCTTCCCTCCCAGTGCCCAGGGCTCTGAGAGTCTGCGGGGGGCTGCGGGGTGCCGGCCCTCACAGGAAGGAGTTGCGCCCAGCACTGACGATGCTGGTTAAGGTCTCCACATCCACGTAGTCATAGTGCAGCGCCTCAGGAGTGACTTTGGAGCCCATCTCCACCAGCAACAGCCCAAGCCAGCGGCCCATGTCCTCGGAGCAGTTTGCCTGCGGGAGGGAGGCACCGGCTGATGTTACGACCTCAGGCTACCTGCTCACTTCAGCCAAACCCGTATTTTGTACAGTACCTGCTATGCAGCCAATACTTAGGGCTCCAACACACATCCAGAAATCCAAGTGGCTTCTACCCCTTTATTCAGGTTCTGGCTCTAATGCCTCCTCCTCAGAGAAGCCCTCCCTGACCACCTCTCTAAGACACACACCCTCACTCACAATCCTCAGAGCCTTCATGACCATTTAGATGTGAAAACAGCATTTGGGTGTTTCCTGAATTTTTAAAAAAATATTTATTTTTTTTACTAGAGGAAACTATTTCTCACATAACCCAATTGAAATTTCTCCCTTATAACTGCCAATTATTTGTAGTACTAGTATACAGGAAAACAGCCAAGAAGTTGCTGGTTAACTGAACTCATAGTTCTAGGTAGTTCTCATTTAAGGAGCATTCTTATAAAATCAGCTGGGCACACAAATGCTAGACTTGTTATAAGGGAAGCATGCTTCTTGCCAGAAAGCTCTGTGTTTGTTTAATTTAAGAGAAATAAGAGACCTTTATCAACCTATCAAAAGTAAAAGTGAGTGACAGAGGCAATATTTCTTGATATTTAAGAACTGGGTGAGGCAGTGGGTACTGGACAAAGCAAACAAGATCAAGAGGCCGGATTTTCATTCTAGGATCAGAACAAGAGGCCGCTGACACCCTTGGATCCTTGGACAAAGCACCTGGCTGCCCTGGCCTCAGTTTCCCTGTTTGTAATGTGAGGGGGTAGTTCTTTAATTTTCCTTCCAGAGTTTACATTTTAAATCCCAAAAAGCCAAACGAGGGCTATGTGGAGGAGAGGCTCCATGCATGGGTGCAGGACCTCAGAGAGGAGGGTGAGGGCTGCTGGGTAGGAACGACCATGAATGGGTGGATTGAAATCACATTTTCATTCGGCCATTTGTTCCACAAATAGTAATTGAGCCCTTAGTATGGGCTGGGCATCATGTTGGCTTCTGGAAAAACCGAAAGTATGTAGAACAGGCATGGTTACTGCCTTCCTGGAGCTCAAAGATTTCAACTCAGTATGGAGAACACCTTTCTAAAAATGTAGCCGCTTGATGGACGGGGCAGGCTGCCTCGAAGGGCAGGGGTTTATCTGAGGCGGCCGGCTACTGGTGGAAAGGTTTTCAGGAGGTTCCGATTCAGATCCAGGGTAGATCAGACTAGATGCCTTTTGGGCTTGGGATTTTAAGACAAGGGAGAGTAAACAAACTTTGGTTCTAGGGTTGCCAGATTTAACTAATAAAAATGCAGAATGCTCAGTTAAATTCGACCTTCAGATAAACAACGCATACTTTTTCAGTACAGGTATATCCCAAATATCACATGGGATATACTTGCATTAACACCATTGTTGTTTATCTGAAATTCAAATTTAAGTGGGTGTCTTGTTTTGTTTTGTTTTTTTTACTGGTAGTCATTCTTGGTCACTTGGCAGCCCGTGGGCTTACTTTCCCTTTTCCTCAGGCCCTGTAATGTCCGTTAGCAAGGTCCCCAAGACAAAAGCCCACACTTAGGCCAAAGCTCCTCAGCCAACACCACCAGGAACCCCCTGGATTCTCTCCTCTCACCTCCAAGATGGCAACCTCCTGCCGGTTGCGCAGAATCCTGAAGGCAAATGGATGTCTGGGCCCAAAGCCTGGGGCCACCTCACAGCCGCGGAGAGCAATGGCATTCACGTGGGTCCTCAGGTCTGTGTGATCCTTGTGGAAGTACAAAGTGTTGCATTTCAGGCGGCACCAGCGTTCCTTCCAGCCCTGGTTCACCAACACGTTCAGGTAGCCTGGGAGGGGGAGACCAGCGGGGTGACCTCCTGACAGCCCGGCCCTGGGGAAACCCAAGGTGGGGGCTATGAATCTGCATGGGTCTACACCTTAGGGACAGGCGCCTGGACAACCCTCATTCTCTAGCTGGAAAGAGGCCTTGTGGGTCCTGGATCAGCTCACTCTGTCTGGGCCTGAGGCCTCTGGCACCCTCTTCTCCCTGAGTTTCGTTTCCTTATCTGAAATGGGGATGATGAGCGGACTCCTCTATTGCTACACAGTCTTTGTACCACACCCAGCTTGGTGAAAAGGGCAGGAGACTACTGTAGAGGTGAGTAAAAGACACTATCCCTTTTGCCCTTCCTCCTCCCCAAATACTGAACTGATTAGTGAGACAGAAAATAATGGGTGATGCTGACACCTGGTGGCAGCATGCGGGAACAATGCTAGAGAGAGAATTCTAAAATGAGCAAGGCACAGGCTGATGACCAAGGGGTTTAGAATTCACTCTCAACATTTTAGATTTAAATAATTTTTTTCCTACAACATGCCCTGATTCACTGGTTACAAAATAATTCTTTATAGCCATGTGGTTTTATAATATTTTTTCGGGTTTAAGGGAATATTACTACATATCCAAAATACAGAATTTTCTATTGGAGTCCAGTACGCGGAACACTGCATTAACGAGAACAGAATAATATATCTTCCCTTCTAAGCCATATTAAACTTCCATTGAAGGCATTTATAACCATGTTTAACTCACACTGATTGCATCTGTTAGTACTTAAATATTTTTATCTGAGAAATTGCCCTATGAGACTGGGTTGTAACTTACACACCTGGCATGTTATGTGCTGGGAGGAGATAAGAGGCTCTCATCCCATCACAGTGGAAGAAACTGAGGCCCACAGGTGGGCAGTGACTGGAGCTGAGGTCACAGGGAACACAGAGATGGGGAGTCAGGTGGCTTTTCCTTTTCCTGAGTGTTAGAGCCTCACCGGAGACAAGTGATGGAAAGGCATGGATTGTTGATGGAGTGGGGGTTGGGTGGGATTCTCTCCTCTGCCCTGGGAGCAAGGTGGAAGAGGCCTGGAGGGTTTTCCTGCTTAGCCCAGGGGCCCACAGCACCAGGGTGTGACTCTTCTCCTGCCGGTGCCCAGGACCCACCGCAGCATGGGACCTCCTCCTCGGAGCAGGGCATCTGCGGGTCGTCAGCCAGCGGCTTCTTCTTGGAGAAGCTGATGATGCGGGTGATCTTGCGGCCGGCAGCCCTGCTCACTGAGCCCTTCAGCTCTGCCAGACTGCTCTTCTTCGCTTTGCCTGTTGCCATGGAGATGGGTGAGGGGAAGGGAGGGAGCCCCACGTCCCAGACCCACCTACCCCAGCCTTCCCAACAGCCCTTTCAGTCTGCACTTGGGGCCTGACGGCTGCTGCAGGTCTGAAGAGGCCAGGTGACCTTCCCCAGATCTCCAGAGCCCTTGGGACCTGCTCTGCACCGTGTCCCCCGGCAAGGCCCCTCCCGGCTCTGACATTCTCTAGCCTGAGCCCCCAGAGTCTCCTACCATGGTCGCAGGCCTCCCTGCGGCCCAGAGTAGAACAGCTGTCACCCATGCCCACGCTGTTTGAGTCTGAAGTTTGCTTCTCTTGGGACAGTCTCTGGGGAGGAACACAGACAGCCTCTTGTCAGAGGGCACACTCAGAAGTCGCCCTTTGTTGGTTCAATCCCCCCAACCTCTGCACACAATGATCACCTAACAAATATTTGTCAGCATCTCTCCTGGGCCTGACTCTACTCCAGGTCTGGGGAGGACACGCTGACTTAGGGCAGTTGTGCCTTCGAATCTCTCATCGTCCATTTGGGGAGCCAGGCACCTTGTTGTAACGCACTGTAATAAGTTCCTAGGATTTCCCATATTCAGTAGGTGACAGGGTCTGGGGAGATATTTAAGTGGGGATACTAATGTCATGCAACTGGTTTAGGTGACCTCCGTAGGGACAGACTGTCAGCAAAAGAACCACATTAAAGAGTGTCATCCTCGGCAAGGTAAGACGTGGTTAAGGGAGGAGCTAAGACGACAAGATGTAGAAAAGAGGGATGAGTTGGCGTGTTCAGAATAGTTATGGCCAGACTTGGTGACCGGGAAATGTGAGCGGTGACAACGGAGGGGTCATCATAGCCCTGACTCGGTAAAGAGGCAGTGAAGACGTGCACATGCGTCATGACAGCAACTCCACGGCAGCCAAAGCAGCTTTACTTGTCCACCACCTCTGGACCCATCGCTCACCTGTCTGTTTGTTCATTCGCTCATTCGGACAAGGTCAGTTAAGTGCCTACCAGGTACTGTGGAGGTGGTAGGGCAGGGTCAGATGGACCTTGGAGAAGATTCTGTCCCTGGTACCACCTGTTAGCCATGGGAATGCAGGAACATCCTTTCTTCTCGTCGAAGCTTGGTCTTCTCGCTCGAATCACACCCTTTCCCAGGGAGCCAACAGATGGTCTCCTCTCCCACACCTGTGGGCTGTGCTGCCACCCCGCTTTAAAAGCTAAACGGTGCCAGTCAGACTTGGGACAGGATTAAAATGCCACCAACACATTTAAACAGTAGAAGAACAGAGCTCTGAGGGCTCTCCACCGTTCCTGCCAAGGACTTCCCGGACCAGGCTCAGGGATGCTTTGCTCTAAGCATGACACTTGGGGGCCTGGAGAGACAGGAGAGGCCTTGGGCTCCCCTCAATTTCCAAAGGCTGGAAACATGGCCACTGTCCGAATTGGGATAGATCTGTTAGTATAAATGATCTCCCCTGTAAATTGTGAAACAACGTATAGTTCTATTCGTCCTGCAGTGGTATATGGATGGCAACTTTTTCATCAAGATAGAGCACAGATACAAAACACACTCTGAAACCTTTGGAATGGGCTTCGCATACAGGATTCCATGGAGACACACAGCCTCCAATCCCACTCACTTCCAAATCCCACCCTCAACCTTTGAGCAACCCTCCCCAGGACACTGAGGGTATGAAGTGTCCTCTGCACAGGCTCACCTCCCTGTCCTTCACACACACCTGGGCCTGCACCACTGCATGGCCTGCAGGTGTGTGCACGTGCACACAGGTAGACACTGTCCACATGCACACATGTACACACTGTCCACGTTGCGTTCCTTCAGTCCTTACAAATGGCAAGGGCCAAGTGTAGGTAGGGTTGATCTTTCCCAGCCTCTGCCTGGCATGAGAGCCCTCTACCCGTCCTCTCCCAGTGACTCTCTGTTGACCCCGAGCCTTTGCTTCTGCTGCTGCCTTGCAGCCCCTGCCCCTTGGCCCACCTCTGCCCCCGTGCAGTCTCACCTGTTCTTCAAAGCTTAACACAGGTGCCATCTTCCCTCCCCCCCCCACTGCCCCTCCAGCCAGCATGAACCCCTGTCCCCTTCAGGGCTGCCAGAAAGGTCATGGAAAGGGCCACTCTAATAGGCTAGGGAGCCCCCTTCTGTCTGAGTCCAGCCACACTGGCCACCTTCCATTCCATGCTTTCCCCCTGCTCTGGGGCCTGCTCCCTGGGCTTGGAATGCCTTTGTCCTCCCCTTCCTTAGGAGTTATTCGCCCTCATCATGAATGCACTCTCTCAGAGAACCTTCCCAGATGCCTGGGACAAGAGCTGCCCCCTGACAGTTGCTCCCAGGGTACCTGGTACTTTCCCCTCCCAGAGTTCATGCAGCGCCCCCCAGCGGGGGGGGGCACGGTGTTTCTGTTGGCATTGCGCCTGTGTGCCCAGCACAACGCCTAGTGCTCTGGGCTCACGAACGACTTGCCAAGCAGAGCTCAGCTCGCCCCCCCCCCACCTTGAGAGATGGGATGGCAAAGTCATCAAGAGCCAGGTGTCTGGGTATATATTCTTGCTCTCCTTCATACGGACTATGGGACTCGGGGTAAGCCGCTCTGTGTCCCAGCTTCCTCACCTGACAATGGAATTCGTCGAAGAGTCATCATAGGAATGAAAGTAGGTAATACGTGTGAAGCCTACAGGACAATGCCAGCCACACAGTCTTATTCTAGAAACACTAACCTTTATTACATGTGTGTAGGTTTGGGGCTGAGTCCCTTGGTCACCCAGCTACACCTGGCAAAGCGAAGGGGACTAGCGCATAGGATTTCCGGCTGCCTGAGCAAGTACCAAGAGACCACTTCACTCCCGTCCCAGTGTGGCACACTCCTCTGACAGTTTCCGATTTGCTTTTCATGGCTCCATTCAACGGTGCCCTCCTCCTGTCCTGGAAGGGTTACTTACTCCCTCCTCCGGCTCACACTGTGCCTTGGAGGTGGGCATTCATTCGTTCCCGCACGCATTAGTTCACGGCTGCTCTCGTGCCAGCTCCACGCGGGGCGCTCACGGCTTGCATGAGGCCGGTGCCTGGCTTCACCACCCACCCGTGGATTCCCTGGGGCAGAGTCTCTGCCACCCAGCACAGAGGAGATCTCGAGGAGACGGATGTACCTTGTCTAGGTCCAGCTTGCACAGGAGGACGGGGGATCTGGGCACGTCTATGCCCTCCGTTGCCCCGGCAGGCCTGCTCACCTCTCGGATGACCTGCGGAGAGGGGGCATGGCTGTGAGCAGGGGGGCAGGGCTACTGTGGAGGCAGAAGGAAGAACGCAGTCTGTGGTCAGGGCCATCAAGAAGCGGGGATGGGATCCCTGAGCAGAAGGGAGGGGTTGATGTGACCTCCTGCACATCGGGGTTTGAACAGGCTTTCTCCTGCATCTGTCCCTTGAAAAGAGAACAGGGCTGGGGAACAAAAGGCACGGCTTCTAGACTGGGCTCTGTTGCTGATCAGTTGCATGGTCTTGTGAAAGCCACATTCCCCCTGTGGGCCTTGGTATCCCTGTGTGTCACATGGGGATAATACTATCCTCTGCTTTCGTCCTTGGGGTGCCTGAGGACTGGTGAGATCGTGGGTGTGAAGGGCCGTGTGACCCAGCACGCCCCGTGCAAGCACAAGAGACGGGTTTCTATGACAGTGTGGAACCTTGGCAACAGCCTGCAGACCACCGGGCTACCCCCACCGTTTCAAAGACGTGGACACGGAGACTCCAGGCGCTCACTCACACCACAGAAGCACCCGGGCCATGAATAATGGCAGCCGTCCCTTTTGCTCACCCACCTGTGGTTTTACATGGATTACCCTGTTGTATCCCCACAGTGGCCTCGAGGGGCCAAGACGACTGTGATCTCTACGTCACAGACCAGGATGATGGGGCTCTGAGAACTGAAGCCATGGTTGGCTGCCCTGAACCTCTGGGTTAATGACCCCCCCCCCATATCGGATGTCAACAGTCTCCAGTCCAGGCTTGACTCCAGTCTCAGGCTCCAGTCTAGAGCTCCTTCTTCTGACTCACCCGGCCCTTGGAGGGCAGAGGCTCCCCCAGCAGGCAGGTTCTCTCCCTTCCTTCCCCTCCTGAGACAAAGATAATGAGCATTAAGCCTCCCAAGGCGAGAGCTGGTTATCACAGGAAGGAAGGGAGGATGGCGAAGGAAGGAGGGGTCTGGTTCCTTTGTTCCAGCAGGAAGATCAGAGGAGGAGGGAGAAAGGTGTCAGTGGGGGAGCGGGACAGGGTGCAGGGACACGGCTGGCCCTGGCCGGCCGGAGGTAAGGGATTGGGGAGGGCAGCCCCACCTCCATCACAAGATGATCACTTACAGTTACTGAGGACTTACTGTCTGGCAGGACTATATTAAATGGTCTCCAGAATCTTTACAAGAACCATTTTACAGAAGAGGAAACTGAGGCACGGATAGGCAAAGTCATTTGCAGAAGATCACCTAGCCGGTAAGTGCCATTTAGGCCTGAGACCTGAACTCAAGTCTATGCCACCAAATTCCCCCCTTGTCATCACTGTGCCACCCTGCCTATGGCCTTTGGAGTAGATTTCCTTGGTAGCTCCTAATCTTGCCCCCAACGACTTGGTCGGGTGACATTTGGCAAGTCACAGAAGATTCCTGGGCCTCAGTTTCCTCATCTGTAAAAGGGGAACGATAATAGTCCCACTGCCAAGAGTAAATGAGGTCAAGTATATAACGCTCTTAGCACAATGTGTGGCACAAGATACGTGCTCAGTACACGGTAACTCACTGCTCTGCAGTCAGAGGCAACATGTGGAAGCTGGACCACAGGTGGGTGTTACAAGGATACACATTTCACCTGAGACAGGAAGGATTTTTCCTTTTTAATTTTTTTTAAAGGATTAGCTTACCTAACGATAAAATGTGTTTCCTTCAAAGATATTAAGCTCCCCATTCCAGGAGGCATATTCCAGGCTGGACGAGCCCACAGAAAGGACGTTAGAAAGAGGCTTCAGAGCACTGGAAGGAAGGCAGTACTCCAGCCTGAGGTCTGTCTCCTGGAGATGTCTGAAGCCCACCTCCACAGGTCAGTCGTAGCCATGCACGGGACTCTGATCGCCACCCCTCCCCCGAGCAAGGCCTGTTCTTCCAGGGACTGGAGCTCACCTGGCTGAAAGCTGGGCCTGGGGAAGGGGGTGAAGGAAGGGCCAGTGCCATGTACCTTCAGCCACTCCTCGGCTTGCTCCCGGCTCTGCAGGGCCAGCACCAAGACTTCGGTAGCCCCCTGGGAGAAACGCAGCTCGTGCCTCTTGTGCCGGCTGTCCTTGGGCACGTAGGTGACGCTGCAGACATCCAACACCAGCCTCAGATGCGGCTGCCGGTCCTTGGAGCTTTTGTAACACTGGACAGGAAGAGAAGGGGTCACCCTTCTGGACTGCAGGGCAGGGGAGGGAGATGCCCTCCTGCAAAGGCTTGGGAGAGCTCGACCTATCCCCCCACACCCAGCTCATGAAGACAGGTGCTGTGGTTATTCATCCCCAGAGAAGGGAAGCCTGGAAGGGGGGCACCTTTGGATACCCTTTAGATCTCAAGAGCCACCCAGGGGCATAGCCATCTATTAGGAAGAGACAGAATTTAGCACAATCCTAGGAAGACCATTCTAGTCTAAGGAACCAGAGAAGAAACAAGCTGGCTCGGAAGGGAACCAGCTCCCTGCTACTAATGAGTTACCTAGCAGGAATGCAGCAGAGAGAATCCTAGCAGAGATGGAGTGCGGGGCTTAGGAAGTCAGTTATTTATCAATAATATTCTCACTTCCCAATTCTTATTACGAAACCAGCATCAAGGTAATCTTGATACCAGGACCTGACAATGACATTACAAAAAGGGAAAATCATAGGCTGATCTCAATGTGCTTGCAAAAGCCCTTAAAATACCCACCAGCAAATAGAATCCAGACACATATAAAAGCAGATTGCATCAAGACCGAATAGGGCTTATTCTAGGATTTCAAGAATGCATCAGCCTTCAAAAACCAACCCTATAGGGACGCCTGGGTGGCTCAGTTGGTTAAGAGGCTGCCTTCAGCTCAGGTCATGATCCCAGCGTCCTGGGATCGAGTCCCACATCGGGCTCCTTGCTCGGCAGGGAGGCTGCTTCTCCCTCTGCCTCTGCCTACCACTCTGTCTGCCTGTGCTCATGCTCTCTCTCTCTAACAAATAAATAAATAAAATCTTAAAAAAAAAAAAAAACCAACCCTATAATTCATCATATTAATAGAAAATAAGGAGAAAAGCCACATATGTCAATAAAAACAGAAAAGACATTTGGTAAAAATTTCCACCTGTTTGTAATATAAACTCTTAGCAAAATAGAAATATAGAGGGGACTGCCTTAATGTGATAAGGAGCTTCTACAAACCGCCCACAGCAAACATCAGCCTTAATAGTGAATTATCGCAACTTTCCTTTGAGCTTTGGACTGAGACAAGGACGCCTGCTCTCACCGCTTCTACTTACATTGTGTTGGAGATCCTAACCAATGCAATATGCCAAGAAGAAAAAATGGCATAAGGAGTGGGAAGAAGTAAGTCATGACCTTTGGAGTGGTTCTGGCCTGGGGTGAGCTTTTCACTGCTCCAGGATGAGAAAAAAAAATCATGTTTCAAATGGTTATATGCTGGACAAGGCTTCTCTATGGATTTGGGGGTAAAGAACTATTGTTTGTTTTTTTTTTTTTTCTTAAATATCTATATTCCTACTCTGGAATTAAAGGTACATTTTTCTTCTATGAAATTATGGTGATGAGAGATGGCAGATTAAAAAAAGGCTAAGAAACCAAGTTCTGTAGTAAATGCTTCACAGGATCAGTTTTAGAAAAGGTAAATGAATGGAAAAAATGAGAGTGGAAACCTGGATATTAAACTTACCAGTGGTTGGCTTTTGGTCAATGGGATTTTAGGTGGCTTTAAAAATCATTTTCATTACGTTTTTCTCTAGGTTTATACATAAACACATTTAATTGCATAATGAAGACAATAAACATTGTTTTAAACAGATAAAAAATTCATTCCCGGTGAAACAAAAACTTGGCAAAGTCTGTATCAGGTCTTTGAATGTGTGTGTGTGTGTGTGTGTGTGTGTGTGTGTGTGTTTTCATTCTGCTCCAGTGGGAGAGCCCTGATTTCAGAAGCACTGAGCCTGTGTGCACAAAGCAAGCCCAGAGGAAAAGGCAGACACACCTGTACACACACACACACACACACACACACACACACACACACACACACACAAGCAGTCCATGTGAGGCCTAGAGGCACACTTCCGCAGCCACTCACCAGGAGCTGGTCCTCCTTGATGACGGTCAGCTGCTTGGCCCACTGCCCGAAGCGCTTTTTCCGCAGCAGGAAAGCGCATATCCTGCAGTCCCTCACCAGGTGCATGGAGGCTTCCTCTGAGGGCCACTGGTGTGTGGGCTGCGGCCCTTTGCCTTCCTCCTCCTCCTCGTCATAGGACTCGTAGGAGCTGCTCATTGGGTCCGAGTCATTGTCTGCGGGAGCCATGGGAAAGGACCCGTTACTGCGTTCTCCCCTGGGAGGCACCTTCTTACCTTTCTGTAGGTGTCCTTGCCCTGGGATTCGGGGACCAGGAGGGGGTGGACATGAGGTGTGATCACAGTGATTGCTACACCCCTACACGGGCACTGTGTTGTACAGATTTACCGGTGGCTTTGTGACCTCGGTGACTTCTCCGAGTTTCAGTTTTCTTATCAGAGAGACGGTCACGGTCAATGACACTATCTCCCTCATCAGGCTATTAGGATCAGTGACCACAGGGCATTCAGCCCAGTATCTGGCACTCGGTGAGCGCTCTGCTAACATCAGCTACTGTCATACCCCGTCATCGTCATGTCCTTAGTCGCAGGTGACTCTCATAGAACCCAGTAAATGCCTATTTTATACTGAAGGCAACTGGAAGCTCGAAGAGAATAAGACTCATTCAAGGTCAGTCACCAAGGGTCAGGGCAAGGGCTAGATCCAGGGCTCCTGACTCCCATGCCGGTGGTCTTTCCACTGAACCCTGGGATCACTGAGTACAAGGGCTTGGGGCCTCTGTGGTGACCCAGAGGGGCTGGTGTGCACGTGCATGCCAATGGTCAGGTCAAGGCCTGTTCTCTGAGGTTAGGGCCATTCTGAACACCTTCCCAGTACTTACAGGAGTTCTTTAGCTCCCCATTCATCCTGGTCGCGGGGTAGCTGCTGTCTGCATCCTCATAGTAGCCATCCATGATGGAGTGGGCTGGGCTGCAGCCATCTGTGGGGTTGGTGGAAGGAGCAGCACCTTGGAGAAAGACAGGCAGGCTGCAGGGGAAGACTCCAGACACCCTGCCCCTCCTTGGGGAAGATAAAGTACAGCTCCCTTGCTAGGATGAGGGGCCTCCTCTCTGCATGTCATCTGCTCTAGCTCCCCACAAGCTCTCTGTGCTCCTGTCACCAGGAGCTGCCCTTTTGGGCCCTGTCACACCTCTAAGGCCATGTTCATGCTATTCTGTGTGCTCTCTTAGCTTCTGCTAGAGAACTCCTACTCATCCTTCAATACCCAACTCAAAGATTCTTCTTCTGACCTTCTCAGGCAGAGAATGGTCAACACCTCCTCAGTGATCCCACAGCACTGGTGTGTGTGTGTGTGTGTGTGTGTGTGTGTGTGTGTGTGTGTATCTTGGTCACAGCCATCTCCCTAGACGTTGCTCTAGCTGTCTGGGCTCAGCACCCCCTCATCTTCTGCCACCTCGGTCCTTCTGCTCCCTTCCTGATACATGTGCTCTCTCCTGTGACAGTGATTCTCCCAAACCTCTGTGACTACGGGCAGGAACTGGACTAGAGGAGGTAATGGAAGCGCATACAACAGTGAACACAACAGCTGGAATGTTCCATGGAATGTTCCCAGCACATTCCCACTCGGGGGAGCACAGTGCAGGGGAGGGGGCTATGTGGCATTGTATTCTGCTCAGATTTACCTGGGGTCTCTTTAAAATGCAGATCCCTAGGCTATCTCCCTAGAGATTCTGATTCACCGGTGGGGACTGAGCTGAGGAATTGACATTTTAAAAAAACCTATTTAATAGGACATTAAAAACCTGTACAAATAGAAACTATATGGAACGCCAAGAAATCAGATTTTTTTTTTAAACAGTTAAGGTTATTTTGATGCAGATGGTCCCTGGGGCACACTCTGAATATCTGTGGGTTAAAGGCATGTGCTTTGGGTTTGACCAGATTTGAGATGAATCTGTCGCCACCATTTATTGGTCATAAAAGTCTCAGTTTCTCTGCATTTCAGGGTCTTCACCTTACAGTGGCGGGAGCAGTTCCCAGTTTGGACTAGTGATACAATGCATATAAGCTCTTGGCACAATGCCTGGCACATAGAAAGCACTAGACAGATGCCAGATGTCATGATTATTACCATTTCCTTTGACTCCTACAATGCAGGGAGGTAGGTATGAGGCCCATTTTACAGATGGGGATGCTGTGGCCATACACCATTTGCTAGGGACAGAAGCTGCATGAGAAATGAGGTTGTCAGCTCAGGGAATAGATGCACACCCCCTCTTCCAGAAAGACTTCCTTCATGCAGTCCAACTGGCTCTCACACCACACTGTTCTTCAAAGTGCTGCTCTGGGCTCCCTCCCAGCCCCTGCCATCCATCTGTTTCCTGAGGACAGCAGCACTCAAATTCCCAGCGACTGGGAGACCTAGTGCTATCTCCCTAGTGATGATCAGAGCCTGCCTTTCCCAGCAGGTCCTCTGCGGCCTCAGATGCCGGCAACATCCTGTGAGATGGAGGGGGGGCGGGCGGGGCACGATTGGAAAGAGGGAGGGGACAACCGGGCAGCGCACTTGAACACCTGGCAGGGCTGGTCACTGTGTCAGAGGAAGGATATTCCCTGATGGGCTTGGCACCCTCTCCCTGGTCAAGCTCCCTGGCCCTTCCTGAGGCCCACCCTTCCCTCCTGCCCCAGGATCCCCGCTGCCCCAGTGGAGAGGAGTGTGAGCTCCTGGGGAAGGTGGAGGAACCTCACCCAGCCGAGGGCCTTGATCTGAGCTTCAGCACTTTGTCCTCACCTTCCTCTCCTGTCCTCAAGTGGATAAAACAGAACAAAGTCACCTGCTTCGCATCCAAATAGCCGTTTGCAGCAACACAGATGCAAGACTTTCAAGGCCAAAGAGAACAACTGACCACCTGGTCTAAGCCCACCCTTCCACTTTGTTTTCACTAGTTGATTCATCCTAAAAATAATACGCCACAGTAGCCCCAGGTGGAAAAAACCCAAATATCCACCAACTGACAAAGGACTGAACAACTATCCGTACAATGGAACACGACATGGCCATAGAAAGGAGAGGAGTACCGATTCAAGCAGTGATGCGGGTTAACCTCGAAAACATTAAACTAAGGGAAATAAGCCAGGCACCAGAGGCCACACATTGTATGGTTCTATTTATGTGAAAGATTCAGAATTGGCCAATCCACGGAGACGAAAAGCAGATTGGTGGTTGCCAAGGGCTCAGGGGAAAAGGACAACGAGAGTGACTGCTTAATGGGTACACGCTTTCCTCCCTAAGTGATGAAATGTTTGGGAACGAGGCAGAGCTGATGCTGCCCGACATGGGGAGTGTACTAAATGCCCCCGATTGGACACTTTAAAGTGGTTGAAATGGTCCATTTTATGTTATGTATATTTTGTTACAATAAAAAAATATGCCCATGGTGATAAGCACGATCAGTATAAAAGAGGATGAATGGGAAAATACTATGTTCCCTTCCCCCAGATGTCTATTCATTTCCCACAGGGGAATACTGTTCATGGTTCCTTGCACATTCTAGAAAAATTGCTAAAATGCATGCGTGAGTGTGTGCGTACCCCATTCAGGAACAAATGGAATCCTATAATAGGTAGTATTCTGTGTTTGAGGTTTTGATCAATGAAGGTATCTTGGAATTCAGTTCTGATCAGCACAGACAGACCCGTTTCATTTTTTTTGGCAGTTGGAGAATAATCCACTGTGCTACTGAGTGAGAGCAGAGCACCACATAAACATTACGTCCCTGCACGATTACATGCATGTATCCAGCCCCCTTCTTATTTTCAGGGTAGGGAAGGGGAATGTCCAAGGCCGGACAGAACTGGGGCTGGAACCAAGTCCCTGATCACTGGGGCTAGGCCCACTGGCCTCCCCCCTTAGAGAGGCTGGGGGCTCAGGCAGCTTTTACCCCGGTTGTACGGAGGGCTGGGTGGGTGCTGGGCTTGGAGCTCCAGCCCTGGCAGGACACACGGGAGCTTTAGGAGAGGAGTCCCAGTTTGGGGGGGGGAGACCAGAAACTTACTGTGGGAGCTGATGTACTCAGGGGACTTGCCCGGTCCCAGGGGTAGGGCCTCTTCATAGTAGTCCTCCGGCGGGGGCCGTTGGGGAAGCGGTGGAGGCAGGTCGGCAGACTGAAGGGGGACAAAGGAGGCAGGTAAGACCAAGAACGCCAGGAGAGCAGAGGGAGTCAGTGGGGTGATGGAAAGGAGGCTGCGGCAGAGAGAGGCAAGAGCCCCAAGGAGGTGGAGGGGGGATGCAGATGTGAAGCGGGAACTTCCAACAGAAGGGCAGAGGGCAGAGGTGGGAACCCTGAGAGGCCACCTGGTCCTCTATTTCTTGCCCGACTTATTTCAGCATCAGGACTTCTTGGGAAGATCTAAGAGTTTTGTGGAAGGTCACATAGATGTCGTTAGGCTTTTGATTACGTAAGCCCACGCAGAATGACCAAAAACCACTGGAGTTCGGCAGTGCTCTGCGAACATGTCAGCACACCTGTGAGGAAGCACGACAAGCACGTGGAAGACACAGTACTCAGTGAGGTGGCACGGCCTCTTGGCTAAGAGCTTAGGCTCTGAGGCCACGGCACTCCCGCTTCACCGGGATTAAGCTCTGTCGCTCACGAGTTGTGGGCACTGACGTGTGTTCACGCTAAGCCTCCGTTTCCTTACCTGTAAAATGGGGATAACAACGGTGCCAACCTCGTTCAGTTATTGTGAGTGTGAAAAGGATGCAGTGAGGGGTCAACAGTTGGTACCACTGGACGGCGATGAGTATAGTGAGTTATGCAGTCAACGCAGTGTTCAATGTGATTATGAGCCCCTTGCCTTAGTTCCATGCATGAAGGCAGGGAACCCCAGGTATGGCCCAAAACTTTATTTTGCAAGTGAAAAACAGGCTCAGAAAGGGGAGGTGGCTCATCTAAGACCGCACGGCAGCAGGAGGAGGGCAGAGGCCACCAAGCCCTGACCCAGAGCTTTCCCCACACTCACTCCATGTTTATTATGGCAATCAGAAATTGTGTGGAGGGACATTCTTTGTGCCTGAAGGGACAGGGCAGTTCACCACATTATCCCTGCTCAGCATGGGCGCGGTGAGCACATCATGGGTCACTGAAATGTTCTCACAGCCTGTTTCTCTCCTTAGAACAGGGTCCTGCACAGCCAGGGGGGTCCTAGGCATTGGTGGGAGAGCTTCACTGGCCACTTCAGATGGACAGAGGGCCAGAGGGTGTGGGAACCCAGGCCATGACTCACGTGTCTCAGAGACGGGCTCTTGGCTGGCTCAGGGCTGGCTCCTTTGCAGGGTTCTCCGTCATCCTCTGGCATGTCCCGGAGGTCGCTCAGGTCACAGTCTACCGAGGGGCAGGCCATGGGGGCAGAGGAAGCCAGGGATGAGCTCGGTAGAATGGGAGGAAGCCTGGACCTGGGGTCTGGAGGCCTCTACCACCTCCTTCGTTAGAAACCCTCAGCAAGCGACCCCATCACTCTGAGACTTGGTCTTCTCCTCTAAACCGATCCAAATAATCCCTCGCCTTGTCTGTCTGCCAAGGTTACCAAGAGGGCCAAAGGAAATGGTATCTGGTGTGGTGTTTTGGGGATTTTCAAGAAGTAGGTCATGAAGGCACTGTGTCTTCCCTCAGTCTCTCCATCCCTGAAACTTTCACCGACCTGCAGCTTTCTCAAAGCGGAATAGTGCTTGGGAGGGAGCAGGGCTGGGACACATCCTGCCCGCAGCCCGGCGTGGCTGCTCCAATGCCCACTGGTAGCTCTCCTTTCTGCTGGGGGGCAGGGAGGCTCAGCCCAGGGTTCAGGCGGCCACCACCAGCGGCTGTGAGCAGCAGAGCGACAGCGTCTTCTGTGGCCTATGCATTCCTCCCTACCTTTCTTCAAATCCTGGGGATGACTTCCTGTGACCATACAGATTCTGACTGGATTTTCAGACCGGGAAGGGCCCAGAGAGGCCAAATGACTTGCCCATTGTGACTCAGTGCTGCAATGTTAAGAGTCAGACTCCCACCCAATCCGAGGGCCCTTCCGGAGACGGGGGCAGGGGGCTCGCACACGCAGGGAGAGGACAGCGCCCAGCTGGGGTTGGGAGAGGGTCGCTTACCAAACTCTTCAAAGAGGGACTCCACGAAGCTGGGCCCAGAGTGGAGGTCTGCTGTGTTCACATACAGGTAGGAGACTTCCTTGGCTGTGAGGAGTGGGAGAGCCCAGCTGCGGTGAGGGGGCTGTGGTCTACTGCTGCCCAATCTGAGGACGGCCAGGTCTCCCCCTCCCGCCACTGGGACACAAACCCACTCAGGACTCGGCCCCTTTGACAAAGCACGTGCACATCCTAAATGAGTTCCCTGGTTTTCAAACTTTGTTCTGATTTTTACCTTGTTCCTGAGCGTCTCCTTCTCCAAGGGAAATGATGCTCAGAGCACAGTATAGAAAAGAGAACATAAGGCTGCTCTGGGGAGGGCCAGGGGACAGGGCCAAGCACGGCTGGCAGACCACCGCCCCTCCCACCCTCCCACAGTCCTGTGAGGCCTGCCGATGACATCAGCCTGTTTTGTCCCTGGAGGAGAGGCTCAGAGAGTCACCCAGGAGTGATGCCCATGCCCTCAACCCTCAGACCCCCACAACACTGTACAGGCACAGTACGGCTTGTCAGAGTTTACTGAAGGGGCTGACCTGGGGCGTCAAGCACAGGCAGGAGTGGATGGGGAGCCCTTGCTGCAGAGCGGACGGTGGGACAGAGAAGCCATGGGGTTCCTGGAGGGGCATGAGGGAAGCCACAGGGCCGGGTACACCTCGCGGAGGGGGTGTGTGTGATGTGTGTGCTGCTTGTGAGTGTCATGCATGAGAGTACATGGGGTGCACAAGGTGTACCTGGGTGTGCTGTGTGTCGTATATCGCGTGAGCTGCGTCTGGGAGAGCGTGCTGCTGGTGAGTGTGGGGCGTGTGTCTCGGGACAGCATATTTGCTGTGGATGTCCTGTGTCGGTGAGACTGTGTTGTGCACACGAGTGAGCATGGTGTGTGTGTGAGTGTGTGTGGCAGCTGTGTTGTGTACATGAGCATTAGTGGGTCGAGTTGGGAGGGGTACAAAGAGCCGCGATGGGGAAGGAACGAAGTGGCTGAGGACACCAGTCAGGCCCTAAAAGTGTTTGGTGGCACGCTGTGAGGCTTCGGCCCTGGGGAGTTCCTGAAGGTTCTTGAGGATCTGGGGGCAGAGGGCCGGTGGCTGACCTGGGAGGGGCTGCAGGCTCTGCAGGATGGAGGCCACAGCCATCTTCTTCTCCAGGGCTGTGTCACTGAGGTACTCATGGTCCAGGAGGCTGAGCAGCCCCGTGAGCTCAGGCAGCAGCTGCTCCAGCACTAGAAGGAAGCACGGGGGTGGGAGGCTTGGGGTCAGGATCTCAGCCCTGCCCTCATCCACCAGAGGCCAGGGCAACCCAGGCCAAAGGCAGGGCGGGTGTGACAGGGAGACCTCAGAAGCCCTCCCACAGCTGTCCCAGGGCTGGCCGCTTGCCTCCCAAGGGAGAGCCCTGCTCAGTTAACCATGACGTTCCGCTGGGCCTCCCCACTCTCCCTCAGACCTCCTATGGCCTTGGCCTGAGGATAGATGCTCCCTGCTTAGGCCTAGTGAGCCCAGGTAACCTGAATAGAGGCTCTCGGCCTGCCCTTGTCCCAGCATGCCCTCGGCTGTCCAGGCCCAGGTCTCCTTCCTCGCTGCAGCTCGGGGCTCCAGTGCAGGTCCCGGGCTGGAGCCCCTGGCCATCCAGGACACAGGCAGGAAGGGAGCCTTCCTGTCCCATCAGTTCATATGCTTCAATCTCTGGAACCTTCTGTTTCCGGTGCCTTGGTGGGAGCCAAACTAAACATTAACCCTTCCCATCCCAGGCCCCAAACCGTTGTCACCAGTCTTTCGGTGATTTACCAGAGTTTTTCAAACTTGAGGGTATAGAGGAATTACCTGATGAGCTCATCAAAATGCAGAGGCGGGCTCAGGTCTGGGGCAGGACCTGAGATTCTGCACTGCCAGCGAGCTCCGGGCTGACGCTGACGCCGCTGGTTGAGACCACACCGAGTGGCAAGCCCCACAGCACGCAGTCCTTTAAGACCGGAACATACCGCAACCATGATGTCATTGATGTGTCCCTGTCCCAAACAGTAACTTGGGACTTGGTTCGCCTTAGACCAGCTTTGTACAGTAGTAGTACTGTCCTGCTTTGTGACTTGCTAGTCACTTGTGCAGAATACTAAAAGCTAAGCGTGTTGAACGATTCTCGTGAGCTGTGCTAAGCCTTCCATACCTATAATTGCATTTAAATTTACTATCGAGCATTTTATGGCTTAGAGTGGTTAAGTAACTCCTCCAGGGTCACACAGCCAATCACACTTCACCTGGCCCTAGCTCCCTCCCTTCTAACTACGGCACTAGACTGCCTTGCAGGACTGCATACAACCATACCAACGAGTTTTGAGATTGGTCCCACGAGCACACCTCCTTTTTAGAGGGAGAAACCAAGGCTCAGAGAAGAGCGGTGTCTTGCTAGCAGTCACACAGAGGCCACCGAAGAGCCAGGCCTTTAGCTTATAGTCTCTGGACTCCCAGCCCCAAGGGCTTCTCTCCACCCTGGACCCTCCTAAAGAAACAACCAGACTCCGACTTACAGTTATAGGGTCTGGGTGTGTTAGAGGGGCTATAACCTCGTGCATAACTGCTGGAGCCAAACTGCTGGGTTCAAGTTTAGATTCCATTCATTATGGTGAGACCTTCGAAAGGTACTTAGCCTGTGACTCAGTTTCCTCCTCTATGTAGGAGTAATAATAGCACTTGTCTTAGAGGGTTGCTGGGAAGATAATTAGGTTATGCATGAGGAGTGCCTTGCCCTATAGAGAGTAAATCTCACCCCACTCAGCTGTTGCCATTGTCACTGTGTTTAGCATGCTGGTCTATGCTGGGTGGGTCTCTAGAGCTGTCTGCTCCCCCAGCAGGCTGGGAGGCTCTAGATAGGGCAGACCGTCCCAGGAATCTCAGCTTCCTCGGCATCTAGTCTGGGGTCTTCTCAGTGCCGGCTCTCCATATGTGTTTCATGAGAGAGGCCGTGAGCGGATGACTACGCCAGGACTTTTTAAAAACTAGAATCGTACGCACAGATAGAGGCACTTGTTGGAAAAAATGGGATGCGGCCATCTCTCTGTGGCATTCCGTCATCACCTTCAAGCTGCTGGAAATGAGCTAAGGGCTGATGCTGTCAGCGGCCACCGCGTGAGCTCCTCTCTGCTGCTGGGCACTGAGATAGGGGCCGTGTCTGTCCTGTCTCATCTGTGAGCAGGTCCTGCTGGGGTACCTTTGTTCCAGAAGAGGACCGAGACCAAGGGAGGCTGCGGATGGTCGCTCACGTGAGAGAGGTGGAACCTGCTGATTCCACGTTTGTGTGATTCCCAGAGCTGTGGAGTCGCACAACGCCAGGGGGCGCCACTCACTTTGCAGCCCAAGTGCAAGGGACCCAGAGGCTCTGCTCTCTCCACGGCCCCAGCCCTGCCAATGCCCTCTGAGCAAGGTTTCTGATGGGAAGATTTCCTTCCTCAAAGTAGGAAACCACTTAAAATCAGAAGAACATCTGAGGTAGATTTTAGCTGTTGCAAAGGAAATCTTTACAAATGGAATCACAGACTTCTTGGACACCCTCAGCAGACACATTGAAAGTCGGTTAACTCAGTTCTAAGATATTGATTGAGCGCTAATTGTGTGCCACTCAGGGGATTAGAAAATGAGTAAGATTGTTTCAGTGGGTATGCTCCCCTCACACACACACACACACACACACACCCCTAATTACTCATGAGGGAGGCCATGGTAAACGCTCCTAGGAAGGCACCACAGGGGACCGTGGTAGCTTTCTCATGGCCTGCAGCCATGGTTCCTATTTGAAAATTCATGACATTGCTCTGATATTACGTGGGAATGTCAAGGCTATGGGATACAGTGACTCTTTATCCCTCTGAAACTTTTTGGCTTTGGGATTCCTTTGCACGTTAGGAAATTATCAAGGCGCCAAAGAACTTTTGTCCTATGTGCCTTACAGTTACCAATATTGACTGTATTCACAATTAAGGCTGAGGAAATTTTAAACCACAAGAACACACCAGCACATATCCCATTAGCCTTCAGAGCTACTGTGTCATCACACAACACAACCTCTGGAAAACTCCACAGTAAACCTAGAAAGAATGGGAGTGAAAAAAGGCATACTGGGTCTGAGTATCATAGAAAAGTAGGTTTGACCTTGTGGACTCCCAGGAAGCATCCCCAATCACACTTTTCTGAGAATCGTGGCCCTTCAGTGAATGACCTTGGATTGCTAAGTCTTGTCCCTGTGTCCACTCCTCCCTCCCTCTCTCCCCAACTCCCTCCCGCCCTTTCTGCCTCTCATTTCACTCTGCAGTCCCGACGATTTCTTCTTGCTCTTATCAGCCAAAGCTTATGTGCCAAAGCTTAGATTCCTGCTTCTAAAAGCTCTCCTGCTTCTAATTTGAGGTTTGTTGCAATCGTTTTCAAAGTAAGAACAATTAGGTTCCGAGTGAGTTCTCTGCACGGAAAGGTGGGGGAGTTTTAATACCTAAGCTTTGTTAACGGCTCTTTAAATTCTTTTCCCTGATTGTTAATGGGACTCTTAACATGGGACCCTGACTTCTATGTGTTCTTGTTGAATGGAGACGTGATCACAAAAGTCCAAATAGAGCAAAGGAGAAGGAGGGAACCGAGTGAACCTGGGAGAAGCAGATGGGCAGTGAGGAACTGCCCAGGACCTGTGGCAGCTTCTGTAGCCTGAAAGGACCTGGCAGGGAGCAGGTGGCTGAGGGACAGTCCCCCAGCATTTCCAGAGTTGGTTGGTGGAGGGAGCGTGAGCCACAGGCGGCATCTCAGCCTGCAGAGGGCAAATGGGCGAGAACCCTTCCCCCAAGGCAGAGCAGTGACTGTGTGCTGGGCACTTAAGGTTCACCTTCTCATTTCAGCCTCATAAACTGCACAGGAGGGACGTAGTGTGGTGCTCTGTGTCCCAACGAGGGAGGGAACAGAGGCTCGGAGAATCGAGGCCACACTGCTAGTAACTGGTAAGGCCAGCCCTGGAGCGCAGGTCTGTCCAACGTCACAGTGTACACCCTGTGCTGGAATCTTCCATCAGAGAACGTGGGCTGACAGCAGTGGAGGCCAGACTGGGGCAGGGAAGAGGCAAGTAGCCCCTCAAAACCCTCCTGCTAAGGGCTCTGGGCCATGACTTCATCTGGGTTCCCGACCTGGGGACCATAACCCTTACTGGGGGGCTGAAATTCTTGCTCAGTCCATCTCTTTGCTCTGGGCCTGTTTGTGAACTTCAGAGCCCTCACTCTGGAGATCTCAGAGAAGCAAAACAAGCCTCTCAAATCATCTACCTGGCTTCAACAGCAGGATCTCATCCCAGGGGGCCCCTTATACATCCTGGGCACAAAAGGGTTTTCAGCGGGTGCTCGGCTCTTCAAAGGCAGTCCCGAGCTCTCCTCCCAAAAACTGGCTTTCAGGGGCAATGACTGTGGCAGTCCTTCCGTGGCAGCTTCGTCTTTAGTGCCAGAGAACTGAAACCACAGGGATTTAAGTGATGGCAGAATTGAACATGGAGAGAAATCGTATGTGTATAGTGCATATGGTGAGGGCTTCTGCCAGGCCTCAAACACAGGACAAAGCCAGGACAGCAGCCTCAAATTTTAGCAAGAAAGAGACTCTCCCAGGGGCGTTGTTGGAAAGGCTGATTCCTGGATCTCCTCCCTGGGCCTTCTGGTTCTGCAGACCCTCTACTGAGAACCAAGAAGCTGCATTTTATTTCATTTTATTATTTATTCTTTTTATTTAAAAGATTTTATTTCTTTATTTACCAGAGAGCGAGAAAGAGAGAGCGCAGGCAGAGGGAGTGGGAGGCAGAGGAAAAAGCAGGCTCTCTGCTCAGGATGTGGGACTCGATCCCAGGACTCCGGGATCACGACCTGAGCCCAAGGCTGCTGCTTAACCGGCTGAGCCACCCGGGCGCCCCAGAAGCTGCATTTTAATAAGCACTCCAGGTGGTTCTGAGGTTCAACCCGTGAAAGCTACTCCGCCAGAAAACCCACACTGCAAGGCACGTTTGTGAACCCAAGGAACATGGGAAGGCGTTTCTCCTTTGCTCCCAAGTTGTCATCAGACCTCACCTTAGAAAAACCGCACGTCCAGGTGGGAACAGGAGCTCCCACAGATTATAACTAGCCGGAGCAGGGGGGCTGGCTGAGAGGAGCATGGTGCGTGGGCCCTTGCGGTCAGACCCGGCACCCTGCAATTCTCCAGCCACTGCTTCCAAGCG